CAACCGCAGAGGCAATGGCTCCCTGCAACGCTTTACCCTCTCCATGGAAGATGGAAGGACTTGTACTATAGTTTGGAATGCGGTAAGCTACAAATTACTACTCCTCGCCTTTCACTAAAATGTTCATTTCTAACTTAGCCTCACGGAGATTGCAAATGTGTATTGACTGTCGGTGACATGTCTAAGTACGTGCTCGCATCCGCATCTCTCTACGCCCATACACTCAGTCATAAACACCCAGCCTTCGAACCAGACTCGAAGATATTTTCAGATGGAATGAACACACCTTTGTACTCAAAGCAGTCGAACCGTAGATCAATCATTTCAGCTTTTCCTATATACGGTGTTTCTTCATAGCTACACTGCCGTATACTTAACACCATCGCAATCAAATATATACCTTACATCTTAAATCTGCAACACCCTAACAGCACAATCTTGAATGCGCACCCCACACATGCAAGACAATTGCACACCAAATTTCCAATCGATTACACATGACATGACAAACTAACAGCCCCCACCAAACACAACCAAACAAGTGTGAAATAGCATCACATGCTATTTTGCGGATGTCCGAACTTGAGCTGTTAACCGATTCCAAGGGGGAATCGGAATTCTGTCTTCTGCTTTCAATGCACACCCTCGTCAAGTCTAACGGCACTGCAGCGTTATCTTTCTGTAGCTTCCCAGCCCATCCATTGCTTTCTGGCCACGATCTAATCCTTCTTGAAAGCATCGACGGCCTACGGCTTTCTCATTTCTCTTCAGGTAGGTTTGTACTGGCCTCTCATCTATCGTCGTCGTCTGGCTGGCTCTTATAGTAAAGCACTCAATGGGTCGACTTGTTGGGGATCTTGGTTCTATGCTTCGACCTCATCCGCTATCGCCCCATGGATGATCCTCACTCAAGGTCTTCTCACGCTTCTCAGCGACTTAGACTCTATGATCTCTATGTCCATTTACTTATGGGCAATACGAGTGACCCTGTAGGCGAGGGAGACACGTATTGCAAGGTTGGACGGACGAGGTTGAAACAGTGGGAAGGTGAGGGTCAATTGTGATTGGTGGAGGGTGAAGAATCTTAGGCCGCTGGGAAGTCAATACATGGTCATTCTCACCCTTACTGCCTCTCCCTCTCATTCCTGTTTTACTGGTATCTCTTGATTATGTGTACTTGGGTTCTCTGATACAGGTCAGGGCCGCATCTGCTATGCAAGGATCTGATCAGCATGGGTGCATGGATTCATCAGCGCCTCGACTGCACTTCTCTTGCATGAGAACAGCATGCATTTTGTTAGGAGCTGGCTCTGACTACATCGTAGTATTCTGCCATGCTCTCCGCATACTGCACTAGAGAGTAATATTCTGACAGCTGTCCTAAATATACTGTCATTGCCTTCAATGGGTGTTGTGCTTCATGCCTTCAATGGGTGTTGTGCTTCATGCCTTCTTCCGCGTCTTTGCCAACATGCTACATCCTTAGACACTTCTCGCTCATCACTCTGAGAACTGCTTTCAGCCCTTGACAGAATCCTGATACTGTGCCTCTTTGATCAGATCACTCCAGGGCTGTGAATGGGCTGTGGCGCATGTGAGGCATATGTATTGGCATCCTAGAGTTGTCAATGAGGTGTATATAAAGAGTGGTGGGATGAATTGCCCCCATGTACCTTCCCCTTTCAACCAGACCACTTATCCTCACTATTCTGAGCTGCCTTCAGTGAAAGTTTGACCATGCGAAGCAGGAGACAATAGAGACTTAAGGAAAAAAAGAGAGTCAAAAGAATAAAGATAAGAGACAGAGTCAAGAGTAGAAAAGTCAAGCAACTTCCAATACTGCCCTTGGAGATACAACTTGAAGTCATATACTGGGTCTATGTACCTGGTGTAATTTCTCGGACAGATAGAGTGAGTTCAGTATATATCTCTGACATTGAAGATGCAAAGCTCTAATATGCATTGTGCATATATAGCAGAGCACTTTGGCTGCATGTTGTCTCACTTGCTATGCCTGGCATTCACATGCTTTGCCCTTTCTCTACAGACATGTTGAACTAGATGCTAGAAGAGCTCAACAAGCTAGTCACCTATAAAAAACATATGCACATCATCATAAAATGTACTGTGCATATTTAAAGAGCCTTGAAGTTTTTTTCCCAAGAACAAGACAGGATGAGATTGATGGCAAGGGCTGGTCCATACCACTCTTTTCCATCAGATTTAATAATATCACCCATCTTGCTATATTCAAGCTTGATCTTGCCTGAATTCATCTGGACTTCTTCAGAGGCCTGGCTCTTCTGCCAATACATACTTTGAGTCTAAGTTATGCTACACTTTCAATAAAGCAGTTTCAAAGAGTGTTACATTCATGTTCTAAGTTGCAGCATCTTGCACTTGAAGAAATTCACATATCTTCTTCAATTTCAAGCTTTGCCACAACTAATATAGACAAAAAGCAGCTTAGCCATAACTTAAAATCACTGCAACTAGAGTACTCAGATCTAGCATTGTTGCAGTGGTTATTTGATAGAGGCTATATCTCTAGTCTTGAGCTTTTTTACATCTCACTAGGTGAAGGTGAATTCAAAACTGAGTATATATCAACAATCAATCAAATTCTGTCAAGCTCTGGATCATCATTGTCAAAATGCCATATTACATTGCCTGAGAATGTTAAAGGTAAGAGTTGTATTGCATCTTTATTTTCTAATTTTATTCTGACTATTTTAATAGCTATTGATTTTTAGCACAATTTATATTTGCAATATCTAAGTCTAAATGCATATAAAAGAACTGTTTCATTTGTATTAGCATCACTTTCATCTGTGCATTCAAAGATGCCAGTAACTGTAAATCTTTATTGGCCATCCATTGTTAAAGATGACTGTCAACAGCTTGAATCAAGCTTATTGGCTATAAATACAGCTAGCCTCAAACTTGTTAGCTTGTTTGGAGCAATAAAAGATATCAACTGGTTTCAACTATTTTCTAGGCTAGCAGAGAAAGGCATCTTATATATTGGTCATGAGTATTGGCATATTTGTAGAATAGATACAAAAGGTGAAGTTTAGATTGAACTTTATAAATATGACACACATAGTCTCATCATTAGTCTTTATGTAGTCACTAAATGACAGTGTGACTTACTATAAAATGATATAAAAGATTTTATTTATATAGTGTTGGGTATTTATAGACTATTATGATAGTGATTCCTAACTTTTTTTCTTTTTTGCTCTAGCTTTCTTCTGCATGCTCTCATTCACATGTATAACTCTGTATCATCAGCTTGAATCTTAAAACATGTGACTTTTGACAGCTCTTGTAATTATGTTACTTAGAAAAACTTTTACTTTATAACACTTGATTTTATATAAGTCTGTTCAAATGAGGGCATTACTGCTATTCACAATTACTTGAATTAGTTTATAATAGTCTTTTAGAATGTGACCATAAGTGATATATCAGTTCTCTATATATCTGAATATTCTATCTTCATATATTTTTCATTTTTATTAGTAACTTTATGAAGGGCTGTTCTCAGCATTAGGAGAATTGGCATATTTTGAGGTTCTGAGAATTTGAATATCAAATAAGCAATTTTGCTTAATAGACTATTATTGTATAAAATATAGTAGTATTGTAAAGAAGTCATGAGTATATTTTTGATGTATATTAATCTATTCATAAAAGAATTCTGGTCAATGAGAAGCAATGGCCTTATTATAAAAAGAAGCAACTTAACTACTAAATTGTAAAGTGCCTCAGAAATCTGATTTCTGACAATTGAGATTCTGCAACTTCTAACAGACTCTCTGAAGCATCTGAAGAGTTTCTCAGAAGATATGAATACTTTTTTGATGTCAGGCTCCTACACTGTGCCATCAGCAGTAGCAGCTCTAGGCTCATACTTTATCAAGGTAATGAAGGCATGTTACATGAGCACTTTTTAACTGGGACATTCTTAATTATTGAATGAGGAAATGTGATTAAGAATTTTTTCTCTCCTCAAGTATACAAGTCATCACTTCCTACTCAAAGTTCAGTATTGTACTGAGGCATCCACCTTCTTGGTTTTTGATCTTTTAGTCATCAACACTGCCTCGATATTGATACAGACACAACCTGAAGTATTCTAGGTGCATTCTGAATCTATGAGGCTTGCCTGTGATTCTCGTAATGTCCATTGCCCTAGATTATTTATTCTTGAAGAAATCATGATTCTGTTCTTAGGATCATCATTTTATTCAAACCGAAGACTCATACAAACCTCCACTGCATATAGCAGTATGCACCCTACTATCCTTTTCGGAGTTCTGCAAAAAATTGAGTGAATCAGCTCCCTATAATGATATACTCACTTTCAGGTTAAAATTTTTAGCTCATTCGATGCGTGTGCATCTCAAATAGTATGTATAAATTTCTGAAGTTGAAAAACATCGAGGAGGCTGAGGCAGAATGATGCCGGTGAAGAGCATGCAAAAATGCTTACACTTCAACAAGTTCTGCAAAATTAGTCACACATCAGTCACATTCCCACCAGCCAAATCAATGCTCGATGATCTCTGTAGCACCCTCTATTTGTCACGCTTTCTGTTGCAAAACATATCCTCAGCTCGACGGAGGCATTTTCACATCAATCGGAGCATCCCAATGGATTCCTGAGCGTAAAAAATGGTACCTCAGAATATAGGACCATCTTCTCGCAGCGAGACTCACACATGATCTGGCCGAAATGGGTTTTGCAAAGTTCTGCACTGACCCTTTTTGCACTGGCTATCCTTCAGTCTTCATTATTTCGCTGTAGGACTCCGTCTTATGCCTAATGTACACTATATGATGCTCTAATAACAGTTTGAGATTTATTGAGTGGGTGTGGAAGCCTGCAGAGGGGTTCTGCAAAAAAACCGAATTTTGCAGAACCCCAAAAAGGATAGTACTGGTTGTCAACATCATGAATTTTTATTTCCCACGTCAGCATTACCGCCCAAACACGGTCGCCTGACTGATTCTATTGGACACACCGTACGTATCCTTCAACGACGAGGGTGGTTCAGAACCAGACTCCGAACCAGATCCACAAATATAACGCACGTTTGTTGCACGCTCTGGCTCAGCCTCGGGATATATATATATATAACGAGTTGATGCAGCCATCATGTCCGAGTCCGCTTGGTATCAAACTCTTCACGTCATGGTTGGATATCTGCAGTGGTTGTCGGTGTACGCGTTGGCTCTGTTGTGGTCATCTCCAGCTGTGGAAAGCGTGGAGGTCATTTCGTCAATCGAGGGTGTTTACAATTCTTCTCGTACTCCGGCCAATTTCCCGTGGAATACCTACAATTATTGCAATGCACCACACGTCAATGCGAAGCATTACATTATACCACCCGTTCCTGGCGCGAAATTGGTCTACCTCAATATGGTGGTGCGACACCACAAGGTAACAGTCACGTTTCCCTATGTCATGTTGTAGATGCACGCTTATGCATTGTCAAATTAGCGAACCCCCGATAACCTATATCCACAAGAAAATGAGCTGAATGCCGTACCTTGGAATTGTTCCGACCTGCGTCAGTTCAGCTTTGGTGGAGGTACCACTCAAATATTCCATGAGACCGTTACCCCGGATTGGCACCCATTTCTAAGCAAGTTTTGGAATGGTACTTGCGACGAAGGTCAACTTACTCAGGGAGGGCTTGAGGACGCCGTCGCACATGGGAAGGTATATTTACTGACGCAGTTCAGAGTAACTAATCGCTCAGAACTTCATAACAGGATTTCTGGTCTGTATACGGTCAGAAGCTTCGGCTTCTGCATTCAGTAAACGAGAAAGATATCTTCGTACGAACCTCAACCGCAACGCGAACGTTCCAAGTGGCTGGTGGCATGTTAACCGGAATGGATCCTGCTCTGGCCCGCCAGAGTTTCCCTGTGGTAACTCAGCCAGGCACTGTACGTCGTGACTCAACAGGTATACCTGATTTTGATTTTGACTGATCGTCCTAAAATACAAGATCGACTCCATTGTACCAAGCTACTCCTGTCCAAAGGCCGACGCGATCCGAGATGCATTTCAATCTGTGCCGGCCTGGACAGATCATCTCGAGGCCAACGCCTCGTTGAAAGCTAGATTGGATGCAACGCTCGGTACAACGGGTTTGGCTGACTGGGCGTCTTGGTGTAGGTGCCGGATTTCGCAATAGCTGGATGGTATCGCTGAGAAGTGGTTATAGATGATCACTTCTTTGACACTTTCACGTCGAGAACTTGTCATAGTCACCCGTTACCTTGTAATTCAACTGGCGGTTGCGTAGCCGAAGCGGACGCAGCAAAGGTATTTGCCATCGGCGATTTCGAATATAAGTGAGTATTCCAGTCTTGTGGTTTCAAATATCAGCTAAAAAGAAGGTTGGTAGCTACATTTGGAACGCAGCTCAAAATGCCAGCACTTACAATCAGTTGACCTTTGGTAAGTAACGTTAGGTCCTACGACTATGCCTCTCAAGTTTTGCTGATTGTGACTCGTAGGCGTATTCTTCCAAGAGCTTGTCCAAAATTTCAAGCTCTTCCGCTCCGGAGAGGAGAAATTCAAAGCTCGACTCTTTGTTGGGCACGACGGCTCCATGATCAGATTAGCATCTGGGCTAGGGTTGGGAAAGATCTCTCCTCTCCGTTGGCCAGCTCTGGGATCTGAAATTGTGATGGAGGTATGTCACATTAGTATGTAAGCAACTTCGCAATTGATACACTCAACACGTTCGTTGTAGGCGTGGCAAGAGAAGGAATCCAATTTTGTCCGTGTCATACACGAAGGTACTCCTGTGAAAGGCCTAGAATGGATGCCATTGGATGACTTCATCACCCTACTTCAATCCCAAGTTCCAGCCGACATCCTTTCGGTTTGTAATAGTACCTGATATCGCCAGCTTGTGTGTATTAGAGGAGATACGTAGCCTTCCAGCTATTGTAGAGGTACAGTTTGTCGGGCGGGCAAGTGAGATCAATACGGATACAGTTCTACCGATAACCAAAAATACCACCATAACTAAAGGCATCAAAGCAAGAAGACGAAGACGAGGGACGGACGAGTAAGCGTGTATACCGTAGATAAGAAAGCGCTTGACGATCCAGAATGAATAAGTCGCCAGAGTCACCAGGACATGAAGTTTTATGTCCGCGTTTCCAATAAGGCGCTCATAAGAATTCAGTCGGATCCCTCCACTCCGCATCCTCGCATTCGAACCATTCTAGCCATTCCTTCGCGTTATATCGAGTTCTAGCTTTGGGCCATTCTTCGAGTTTTACTTGACCTGATGCAGGGGCTGCAGGGCGCGTCACTGTATAATAGTCTTCGTCGATTCGCGCCAACCTGACAGTCGGGAAGCCATGTTCAATTACAGCTGCAACGTCGTCGATCTGAGATTGAAAAATCCCGATAAACTTGAGAGACGGAGGTAAACCGGGTCGAAGTTGCTAAAGCGCCGCATCAGTTCAAGGCACCAGGCGGTCCCGCTCGGAGAAACTCACAGAAACATAAGCGACGACGTCTTCGCTAGAAATACTATGGAGGGAGAGGCTTTGCACGCTGCGGGGAACGAGCCACATGGCGACAGCAGCAGCCACGTCCTTCGGCAACGTGGCTGAGAGGCTTTGAAGATGAGTAAGAGAAGGCAATACACCCCATACGTTGGCGTCGTATCCTAGTCGCCGATGCGCATAATCAGCACTAGGAACGATGAGCTGCAAGGTCCGCAATTCGGTTCGACCACGGAGGAAATCGGATATAGCAGGGAAGAAGTCATAGTCGTTGACCCTATAGCCAAGAAGTGACAGCGAGAAGTGCCTGAGGAAGGGGAGTGCTTTCGGGAAATCCCTGAATTGCACCGAAGCGCTACATTCGAGCATGCATTGTAATCGGAGGGATTCGAGTTGGTGTCCGTTACTGAGAATGTCAGCAAGAGCGTGAGAATCAGTTTGAAAAGTCCCGAGAAAGTCGAGGTGAGTGAGGTTGCGGATGGAGATGACGTCGGAGGGGAAAGACCAGTTGAGGTTCTGAAGGTTAATAGTGCGGATTGATCCTTTGTTGCGTGCTAGGAACTCGTAGACTTCCGCTGGGTTTCCGCCGTTCGCAGAGTAGGAGAACTGAGTAATGTGCTTGAACTTTGGGAAACGTAACTCTCCCGTTCCATCGGATGGCCTGTGAGACAGCGTCACACTTTATCGCGGAGAAACAGCGAAGCTAGATCGACTTACATAAGGGATAGCCCGTATATCCTGTGGTTAATTGTCTCGAGTATTCGCAGAAATGAGTACATATCCTTCCATCGCATCGAACAGTGCACATTTCGAAGGTTGCTCAGTTTTGGCAGCGCATTGGCGAGCATTCCTGAGTGCGAAAATCTTTTAGAACTCAGTTATTTCGGACCAAATTTGAAATCACCTGTTTGGAAGGTCATAGGAACGACATCGCGACCTGGCACAAAGATTCGAAGCGTCCTGACTAGGTTTGCAAATGCGCTATCGGTGATAATTCGAGTGAGGATGTCAGCGCTCCGTTGCGAATCCCATTTGTCCGATCCAAAGTGTAGGTCAATCTTCCGGAACAATAGCTGACTAGCGATTCGTGAGAGGACGTGAGGAACAAGAAGCAAAGTCTTCAGGTCACGGCGTGGAAGCCACAGAGCAATCTGCCGCCAGATTTCTGTTGAGAAGCGCGGTTGTCCTGGGATTGTGTGTATCGGTGTCTGCATGACGAAGGACTTAACGACGTCGACGGTGACGACACCTCATTAAATGGTGACCCACCTTGCCTGGCGGGGGAACCGTCATGAGTGCCCTGGCTTCAGCATGCTCAGGATCGAGTACTAGTATAGCCAGTAGGTCTATTCAAGGCCTGGTCAGAGTTCATCGAGAACAGAATGGGCTAGGCCCAGACAAGGACTGGACCTTGATTGGCGCGATCTCGCAGACCGCAAGCAAGCCTCGCCTTTGCTCGTAACAGACGCGCTCTTGTAGCACTCTCGGGCGACAGCTTAGACACGAGTAGACAAGACTGGACTGCATTCTCGATGAGGATTCTCGACCTAACCATGCATGATATTGTAATTCAAGAGTGGATGACCACAATAGGTGCAAATTGTAAGGTCCAATACAATAATCGAGATATGGCAGGACTACCGACCGGTCTATATGGAGACGTTCCATGGCATACAGGAGCACGTCGGCTTTTTGTTCGTCGGGGAGAAAAGCAACGACATCTCGAAGACTTGCTTCAAGAATTTTTGGGTTGAATGTGCTCATTTCAAAGCTCCTAATGCAATCTTTTTAGACAGCCCTCGGGGCCAGAACAACGTTGAGTCGTTTGACCTGTGATGAAAAGGTTGTGTTCATTCCTAGTACGCTCAGAACGCACACGAGGCAAAGATATAAACTCACAATTAAAGGTAGTACTATCACTTCTTCCGCCACAGCCGCGAGCACTAGCAGAACCTTTTCTTAGACGTGTCGACTCGTCTTAGGTTGTATTTCGCCCTTCGGTTACCGCCAGATAGAGAGGTTGAAACTTCAAGCCGTAGGTTTGAGTGTTGTTAACGATGCAAGAAAGGGGTGTGGGTAAGTTTGACTGGGGAGGTAACATGATGCGCTTAAATAAGATAAGATAATTCATATTCAAAATAGCCGATTCGTTCCGAACGTACGGCATCCTCAAGAAGATCGCTCAGAAAACCAGAAAACAGGGAAAGGTACGAATTTCGCTTCGAAACGGTGTAGATACGTAGAACTGGCTTGCGTACGTGAGCCACAACAATAATTTGTAGAGGGAACACAAAAGGCGCCTTAGAATGAGATAGACGCCTTCTCCAACTCCCAACGTCCATAGAGCTTGAGCGAGTTTGCTAATTTGCATCGAATCTTGGAACGACCACTAAAATGGTCGAAATTACCATACGAAAAAGGCCCAGAACAGATGCCGTTGTAACCCAACGCAAGTTCTTCAAAAAAACTGCTCGAGGCAAAGTGATCAAAGGTAGTCATTACGTTCGTTCTGCATCGTAAGACTTATCCCTGTTCACAGTCATACGAGAGCGATACCTTCGCAACGATGTCAGCTGCGGAATAGAACATTGTGGGTTATGCGAGTCCGGCAGCGAAGCAACACTCCCAGCCAGCGGTGCTTTCGATCATGAGCTCTATCCCAATGGTCATCTCATAGTTCCGGACACGAATGTCTTTCTATCTCAGGTATGTTCTTTGTACAATCTTTTCTCTACGCAGCAGCTAAAAATAAAACCCTACTATCTAGATGGATCTTATGGAATCCAATTCATTCAACCCTCACATAGTCCTCCTACAAACTGTCATGGAAGAAGTCCGACATCGTTCATTACCTCTCTTCAATCGTCTAAAAGGGCTGGTCAAGGCAGAGGATAAAAACATTTGGGTGTTCTACAATGAATATCGATCGTAAGCATGCTGATTCCGGGCCCATGTCATCACTAATAATCTAACAGCGAGACCGCTGTGATTCGCGAGGAGGAAGAGACCCCTAACGACCGCAATGATAGAGGTCCGTTAGTCGCTCATGGCACCACATGGAATCTTACGATTCTTATGCAGGTATTCGTAAGGCCACTGCTTGGTACAATGAACACCTATCTTTGGCCAGACCACCAATCCGCGGCAAACTGCAACCACCGTTGCCAACTGCTATTCTTTTGACAGATGACGTTGCCAACCGTCAGAAGGCAGAGAAAGATAGAATTCCATGCATTTCGAGTATGTCGTTATGAACTCTGCTCCCCCTCGTCTGCTCAAGTTGTCATAGTACGGCGCTACGTTGAAGGTATGAAGAAGTCAGGCCTACTGCTGGACCTTTTGTCTACGGCCGGGGAGGAGATCGAGCCCACTAAGGCGGTCGCTGCACGTCAAGTTCTTTATCCGGCTGTATGTGTGCTTCGGCATTTTTTTTCCACTTCACGACTGATTTCGCATCAGTATCTGCCAATGTCGACCCTTCTAGCCGGTGTCAAAGCTGGTCAACTACATCAAGGACATTTCAACGCTAATCAGTACAACTATCTTGAGGTATTTCTCGCGGATACGTCGGTAAATTTCAACTAAACTATCTATTTCAGGGGAATGTTCCAGCTCCTGCGTTCTCGAAACCTGTACTTCTGGTCGGACGAGAGCACATGAATCGTGCGGTTCAAGGCGATATTGTAGCCGTTGAGATTTTCCCGGAGTCGGAGTGGAAAGCTCCCGCAGATGAAGTCGTCGACCAGGAAGGTGCGTAAATAACTATCTATATCGATGTTCTTTTAACTGATATTATCTCTAGCAACACTCAGGAACGACGATGCATCTGATTCCGAAGAAGAGCGTGAGGATGACGAGGCTCTCGCTGAGCAGAAACTTCTTGCAGTGGAAGCGGCGAAGCGCAGAGCTGCTGAAAGACAACCAACTGGTCGTGTTGTGGGCATCATCAAGCGGAATTGGCGATCGTATGTTCATTCAGAAGCTCGTTATTTAAACTTGCAATACGTATTCACTCCACATCGCAGGTATGTCTGTCATATAGACAGCACATCGCTGACATCATCAAACACCACTTCTCTTTCTCAACAAACTGTCTTTGCAACACCCGTTTCTCGTCTCCTTCCTCGCATTCGACTTCGTACTCGCCAAGCACCGACACTTGTTGGCCAGAAGATCCTAGTGACAATCGATCGTTGGCTTGCCACTTCTCGCTATCCCGAGGGACATTTCGTTCGTGCACTTGGCAAGGTTGAAACCAAAGAGGCGGAGCAAGAAAGTTTGCTTCTAGAGTTCGACGTACCGTACAGGCCATTTGGAAAAGCTATCCTAGACTGTTTGCCTCAACAGGGTGATTCGTGGATCGTTCCGCCAAAAAGTACCACCAGCCCAGAATGGAGGGATCGAGAAGATCTTCGGGAGTTACTCATTTGCAGTATCGATCCTCCTGGTGCGTTTATCTTTTTGATTCAGCACGGAATTATTACTCATTTTTTTCTATAGGATGTCAAGATATCGATGATGCTCTCCATGCACGTCTTCTGCCAAATGGAAACATAGAAGCTGGTGTCCGTGCGTATTATCATTTTACTTAGGTGTTAATTCAACGGATCTAACGCGTTGCAATTAGATATTGCTGATGTTTCACATTTCGTTCTTCCCGACAATCCAATGGATCACGAAGCCGCTGCTCGCGGAACAACCGTCTACCTTGTGGATAAACGGATAGACATGTTGCCTGCGCTCCTTGGAACAAACCTTTGTTCTCTTCGTCCACATGTCGAACGTCTTGCCTTTTCGGTGATCTGGGTACGTCACTTGTTAAAATTCATGTTTTAATGTATTATTCATGCCGTGGATTCATTTTATAGGAGTTGACACCCGATGCTGAGATCGTCAATGTGCGATTCACCAAGTCTGTCATTGCCTCAAAGGAGGCTTTCACGTACGAAGCAGCCCAGCTGCGCAAAGACGATCCGTAAGTATCCATGCATTCTTCCCTTACACTCAACTAATGCGTGGTCGTTGTTACGCAGGAACCTCAACGATGACCTCACCAAGGGCATTCGTCTCCTCAATTCGCTTGCAATCAAGATCAAGGCAGCGCGGATGGCAGCTGGAGCCTTAAACCTGGCTTCTCCAGAAGTCAAGATTCAGATGGACAGCCCTGAATCTTCGGATCCTATCGACGTTGAACAGAAAGAACTTCTTGAGACGAATAGTCTCGTAGAAGAGTTCATGCTGCTGGCCAATATAAGTGTCGCAAAGAAGATTCAAGAGACGTTCCCGCAGACTGCGGTTCTGCGACGACATTTACCCCCACCAAAAACGAACTTCGAGAAGCTGCAGGATATTCTCATGAAGCGGAAAGGGATGGTGTTAGACGTCTCCAGTTCGGGCGCGTTGGCAGCTTCCCTTGATAAATGTCTCGTAAGTTCAAAAAAATGGCTATAACCTCCTTCAGATGCTAACGACGAGGTGTAGGATCCAAGCGAGCCTGCTTTTAATACTCTCGTCCGAATCATGGCTACCCGCTGTATGTTATCAGCTGAATACTTCTGCTCAGGCAGCGTGTCGCGCGATACCTTTGGACATTATGGTTTGGCGAGTCCTATATACACTCACTTTACGAGTCCGATTCGACGATACGCAGGTACGTGAACGTTCCTTAGGCGCATTCAACGGCCGATGCTTATGTTTTATCTTCAGATGTTCTCGTCCATCGTCAGCTCTCTGCAGCAATCTCCTACACCACCCTTCACCCAAGCCTTCACTCGAAGTCTCATGTTGAGCGTACCCTTGATGTAGTGAACAAACGTCACCGGATGGCTCAGATGGCTGGTCGTGCGAGTGTGGAATTCTTTGTTGGACTGGCTTTGAAGGCACGGGGAGAGAAGCAGACTGTGACGGAAGATGCTTTCGTCATCCGAACGTTCAGGAATGGGTTAGGTGTATTCGTCTCCAAGTGCGCTTTCGTCATTCTGGTTCATCCCGTGTTATTTCTGATTTGTTTTATTAGGTTGGGGATCGAGGGGCTCGTAATGTTCAAACGCGAAATCCAGTTCGACGCGGACAAATACACTATCACTGTGCCATCCGACAACGGCGATACGACCATTTCCGTTTTCGACAAGGTCACGGTGCGGATAGAGGTGGAGAAGGATGCCAATACGCAAAGAGGCAAGGTAAAGATGACCTTGGTCAACCCCATCAATTCGAGTGCACTGTAGGATAGCAATCGAAATTCTTCGCGGGAAGTCTATGTGAGGAGGCGTGGAACGAGTGCTCGTCATTGTGGGAGTGCAGTTGAGCTATTTTCTCCGAAATCCCAAAGCTTCACGGAGTTGTCCACGACAGCAGGTTGCAGCTTTGCGCGACGCTTCTTGACTCCAAGTTGCCTCTCCTGTTGAACAAGTTCGGAGTCGACAACGTCCTCGTTGCCTTCAACATCAGATTCTTCATTCTCAGACGAATCTGAAGTGGACGCAAGGGTAGACTCGAAGTGTCTTGATCCTGACGCCGATAACAGAAGTGCCCGCAAGGGGTGGAAGGCGACAGAGCCTATCGTGTCTAGAAGAAATAATATTAGACATGTATATAGACATTAGTAGCGGGAGCAAGACATACCGTCATGGGCATGATACTTCAGTGTTGGTGAAATGTCTCTTCGCGGAGGGAGAACCACTTCCTCGACGTTATCGGCGTCTGGTGAGGACAAGTCAAACATGGAGACATCGCCATGCTGGAGATTCGCAATTCAATAAAACTGCCATGGACTTAGAAAGCTGAAAACCCGGACCTCATCGCCGATAGCTAACCAATTTCCGCCTAGGTCGACATCGAAATGCATCTTCTGGTTCGTCTCTATAACGTTTCTCTTGACATTTGCTTCGCCGCTTCGACTGAAAGTTTGTATCGGTGAACCTAAGTCCCCTCGGAGATCCCAGCAGTATATCGTATCGTGTCTCCTGAAGCATGCGTAGAGTAAATAGGGCCTGAACGGGTTGAACATCACCTGTAGAAATGTATGTTAACACCGCTAGAACTGAATTGGGATTGAATTGCTGACCTGAGTACAACTGCTTCGAATGCCAAATCCATCTTGGTGGTCATCCCCTACGAACATGACCGGAACCTCGCCCGTAGATTCTGAGAATATGGCAATATTGGAAGAAGTTGAAGAAGAGGGGTTCAGAGAACCTGCGGCATAGAGACCAGATGAGATGTCTGGGGAGAACGCCAACGTTGAGATAATTCCTGTAGGGACTCTTTAATGCACTATAGAACGCAACCCGGTGACGACGAACATATACCTTTTAGACCATCTCTACTCTTTTTTGAAGGCGTAGTGCGAAGGCGGGTGCCTTCGCCTGGTACATGGACATCAAACACTTCTATCGCATCCTCAAATCCGCAATACAGCCTAGCGTAACTATCAGCACATAAGCATCAAGATAGAGAAAGGCACGTACTTGGAGGCGAGCGGGTTGAAAGCTAGAGAATGTGGAGCGACTTGGCGTTCACGGTGATCGACGATCTTGTACGATGCACGCAACTACATAAAGTGGGATGATTATTCACCAGTTCCTACTACTGTTATATTGAGTGCTCACTCTGCCATCGGACGCGTCTAGTAGTTTGACAGGGCATTCCCGTACAGAAGTCACGAAACAGAACGATGCTGGATCTCTGGAAGTCGCATTAGGATACCAAGCAAAATCGAGGACGGGGGCCGCCTGGGGAAACCATAGTTTTGTTGGAGGCGTAAACCAATCCGATAGTGTATGATGCAGAAGCTCGGGAGGTCTATGTTTGCATAAGCATTGGATTAGGCAGGCCAAGAGAAAATATACGAACAAATCGAGCATACGAAGTTTTCCAGACTCGCATTGCGCAAGAGCAACAGAACCATCAGGACACCTATTCCATAGGGATTAGCCGATCTGGTAGGAGAAGTAACTTGTTGAACTGCACAACCATTTAGCAAGCCGTACGAAGTCATTGGAGACAAATTCGTCAGTGCAATTAGTTGGATGAGAAACCTGTGTCAAGCTAGGCTTCGACTTAACGCTGTACTCTGGGGGTACCCACAGGTTTGGCTCCATAATTGTCTTACGTCTGAGAGCTAAGTTGCGCGTAACAACTTAGGGACACTGGCAGTGGGCCGTTCTCGACGTATAGCCGCTGAGTTTGAAACTATTGAAGTATTATAAACAGGTGGGCCTAGTCCGAACTAATGCGAAATCGGGGGGCGTCCACTGTGCAAATTCCTGAATCCAACTCCTAAAAGTTCGCTGGCAGGACCCCGAGTGCGAGCGCCGGTACCACCACTTGATAAGATAGCATTTCGCCTTGATAAGGCGAGATCTCTTAAGTTCATTCGACAAGACGATACCGAAGTTTCATTCAATATAAATTATTCAAGAAGCCAGAGCAGAATACAACAACTATAGGGAACCCTGCGGTGGTATACATGAGAGTAAAGCTCTTCTGGATTATTACGAAAACCAAAACCTTTCATAGTGCCCGCTATTCACTGCTCACTGTGATTGCATGCTAGTCTGATTCTAAACGCGCCCTTCAAACCGTTGCAACCACTTTCGGGCTTAGCCGAAGAATATTCAGAGTCCGCAACGCGTCCAACTGCTTGCAGCCACAGACGCGTTCACCCTCGTCTCGTATAGACTTTATCAATGAGCCTGTATTTATGACGATCACATCTAGACCACCTACATTCAAATTTTCATCAAGTGAAGGTCACTTGCTCTGTTTATCAATCCTTGCGAAAATGTCGTTACCGTATGAACCACATGACTACCAGCTTGAAGGTGTATGCAAAGCATTGGATGGCATCGACATCTTGGCTGTGATGCCTGCGGGATCCAGCAAGACTGGCTTTCTCACTATGTACATGCTTGTGATGCAAGCAATCGCGTCGGACCCTTCTTTGTGTCCACAAAGGTGCATGAAGAAGTGAGCACTCATGATCGTTGTCTGCCCAACGAAGGCCCTTGAACATGACATGGTATGTGCCACTATATTCTTTTCTATCCTTTTTTATTTTTTACCTAGTTGCAATATGTTTAGGAGTGCAAGTTGAAGTTGATCAGCTTGTCAGTGCTGGTAATCAACGGCGATACGGTCGATGAAGCTCGGCGAAGCAGTACCGATATTTGGATGACAGCACGCTCAGACATATCAGTTCTTTTGCTTGCACCTGAGCAACTGAAGTCATCCGAATTCGGACACCTTCTCACTGATAAAGAATTTCAGCTATGTGTTGTAGCATTCGCAGTCGATGAAAGCCACCTTCTAGACACATGGGGTGCCTCGTTTCGGCCTGCATTCAAGCATATCAGCGATATTCATATGCGCCTACCCCAAACACCCGTCATGATTGCATTGACGGCCACCCTGCATGTCGGCACTCATACATCGAATGTTTGCCACTTCCTCGGCCTCAGCGACCCATACCATCTCATACGGCATTCGAATGCACGCTTTGACCTGCAATTCATCTTCCGCACGATGTCCTCAAGCCCACGCTCTCTTAAATTTACAGAACTCGACTGGGTACTCGAAGATGGACGCTGTGTCATTATCTTCTGTACGACGATCTCCCTGGGCTTTCGTGTAACGACGTACTTGTGGCGGCGCACGTACGAACTTCGCGATCGACGTAAACGCATCCGTATGTACAACTCCCTCAATTTTTGGGAGCAAAACCATGCAGTTGGGACAGTAAAAACAAGTTGTTTCCTGAGGCGGCTGTAGACAATACATAGTGGTAGCTCGTAGAATTCTCTCAAGTGTTTTCAGCCACTTTTGCAGCCACCGGCATCGACCCGGCAAGCCTGGCGATCACCCGGCATCTGGGCGCTTACCCTTAATGAACTGCAACGGTACGAGGGGCGCGTATTGAAGCAGACCTTTATACGGGTCGTCCCTCCCTCCCTTATTAGACCCGTCATTGGTCTGCGTACCGGAGACTAATTGCATGCCGGAAACATGCAAAAAAAAACATAAGTATTTATGACAAAATTCACTTGATAAGACAGACACGAGGTTCGCTAGTGAGTTCTTCCTGCCTGTGTGGTTTTCTGACTTCGTTGTCGATAGCCGCGGCGCAGTGCGAGCTCGTTGTGAAGGTCGTTCAAGAGCCTTGTTCCATGTGTTTCCTGTCGGAGGGAGCTTGGCTGGTGTGAGACTGGGGTATGTTGTTAGAGATGGCGATTGTAGCCAGAGTGAGTTAGGTGTGTTGCGGGGTCGGTAAGCACACCAATTGTTGGTTCAGCGTGCACAGTAATATCACCACCTCAAAGAGGTGGGGCATGTGAGACTCCGTGACTAATCACAATGACAATCAATAAGCCGCAGAACATGGTAACATTTCATGCTGAAATTAATTGCGACCCGCTACTGGCAGACCCGCGCCAGTTGCGAGCCTCCTGAACATACTCTAGAAAAAAAGCTATGGATTTGCTTTCACAGCATCAGCTAACCAGACTGAAATATGCGACTCACGGAGCCATTGATAATGACGATCTCATTGATGGTCAGGCCAGGGAAGCAACATCATGACGGAGAGGTGGGAGGTATGTTCAGTGCATAGTAAAATAAAGGGGTTGCAGGATGAATAACCCCTGTAATACTATTCATCTGCTCAAGCTTTCGAGACTGAGGCTGCCTCCGAGATGAGGCAATAACTAGCGCGAGGTGAACAGGCAAATCGTTATGCAAGATGCAAGGTGCAGCTCATCTTATTCATTTAAAATGCGGAGATGCATTCAAAGCAGTATGTCATATGAAATGTCTCACCGCGCCAAGAAGATTAGCGACTCACCTACGAACTTTCTCAAATGCGATTCTGAGGGTGAATTGACCCAACGCTGCAAGAATGGAAGCGCCCGCGACTCGCTAAATGATTCTTTTCAACTTACCATTCGTCACGAAGACCATTCATGCCGTATGTGTGTACAGGGTGAAGATATATCAGTAAACATTCAGCGCAGAAGAAAGAGGGACGATTGGACGTGATTTGAAGTCGTATAGTAAAATCTCGGCCAAAGTACTCAAAAAATCTCTGGAAGGACCCCGATAGTACCTCGAGCCACCACCACCACCACATAGGTTGGATTCAGCGCTTGCACGACTGGACGCCCCCCGTGCGAAATTGACGAAATATTGATCGAATTTTGCGATGAACACATGCATCCTCCATGTCATTAAAAATATAATAACATGTGGACTTGTCGAGTCTTTGTCCAGATATCTGTGCGCCTGCCTGCAGTAGCACATGCGATCTCTTGCAACGTGATATGACTCAGGGAAATGACAGTCGAAAGCAAAGTGATAGTCAAATAATCTAATGTGAAAGATACATCGCCGTACTGCCCAATATTACACGTTTAAAACAGCCATCACCTTGCCATAGGTCATTTCGTTAACGGCATTGTCATGCTCTTTTCGCCACTTTTCGATTTTCTCCAATAAGGCATCTGAAGCGCCCTGGCTAGCCTCCTCACGGGAGTGAGAGAGGAGTTCCTGGAGACTTGCGACCTTTGTCATAGCATAGGCTGCGTCCGGTATAACTTCCTTGAACTTCCAGTACAGCGGGTCTAACCAAGACGAAATCAAGGGCTTGAAGGAATCATGCACTGTTTTCAATATTTGGTCAAATTTCTCGCGTTTGTTCCAAAATTCACTTTTCTCCGTGCCGATACTCTTGAGAGAAGGTTGCTCCCAAGCTTCCAGGTATCCAAGTTCGTGTCTCTTCGGATTAAAGACCGCGGAAAACCAGACCATGACATAGAAGAATGACTCCAGATCATGTCGGTAAAGATGCAGAGGCGTCTCAGTTGCAACAAGTAGATCCAGCGCCATGAATGGTCCTGTCCCTGTCCGATATCTCACCTGAGTAAGTAGCGCGTCCATGTCGCCTTCAGCGTCAGACCTACTAGCGTCTGCGATCGGGTCTATTGCCACGAGAGCAGCAGAAGCATCCTTGACTAGCTGCCCATCCTTTTTCGTTGAAAGATCCCAGTCCGAAAGAACTCCCATCACGCTCCCGTCATTTAGCCGGTAGAACATCACATTGTCACTGCTGACATCACGATGAAGCACTTCCGCTATCTCATACACCCAATAGTGAGCTAGACCGATATATAAAATAAATGCTCGTCAAAAAGAAGAAAATAACTGGCGCACCTTCGACCACGTGTCTCATTATTCTTTTGAACTCATCTAGGGAGTCGACTGTCTGGAGAGGCAGATATTCATCGATGATAAGAACCTTGAATAGTCGAGGCTCGTATGGGTCAGGGAGCTCCATTGTCCCTCGAGGCAAGCCGAGTAGTGGGTCATCCATGTTCAAGGTCAGTGAACATTTCAGGTCTGTGATATGCTTCAGCATATTCTTCAAGTGTGGCTGGCCAGAGTCTCGTAACTTCTTTCGCACAACTTTCACAACTTGGTCTTCGAAACACACCCGATTCACTGGTTGCCAAGCCATCTTCGCCACCAGATTTCCAGACCCAAACAGCGCAGCCGCCGCACCCCTTGCCTTTAGAGGCACGATCGTCGTTCCACGTCCAATGGCCCCGTAAGCCGTCTTCACCTCGCGCTTCCTGTTGACATCCAATTTGAATTCCAAGTCCTTGTGTTCCACGTCTTCAGCGTCCAGCGCATGAGGGAGCTTCAATGTCGTTTCCCTGTAGTCCAATAGGTGCCTCGGGGACCACTCAATCAGTGGACAACATCCAAGGCGATGACGGTCGGCAAATGCGATTCCTGCCACCATCAACAACAGATAGTGGGGTTCCAGGATGAAATCAAACGATTTGCTCTTCACGATGCCCATGCGATCGCTGTACCACAGTGTGACCTTCGTGTCTTCGATGAGGAAGCCAGTGGAGTATTGTCGAATACCATGAGAAAGAAGCTCGTTGAGATACTTCACGACCTGTGCCTGAGTGTTCGTCATACGTGTCTCGTTGCTCTTAGCATACGCGCTTGAGTGCTGATGCGCCGAATCTCTAAATTTCTTCTGTACAGGTCCCTCCGCATGATGATCGATGCTTATATCGCGAGACTTCCGTTTTGTCGTCGATCTGGCGGAGATGGCCTGTTATGATTCAACATGCGGTGACAACAATTAGTGCTATGGGAAGAGACTCACCCGTCTGGAACCGTCTTCGGCCGCGCCAGTCTTGTCTATAGAACGTGTAACCATCGGATGAGTCGGCGGCGTCGTCTATCACAGAATCAGACAGTGTTGAGAATGCGATGAGAAAAGGGGGGATAATTCACTTACAGTGTTCCTATCTGGCGCTGTCGCCATCTTCTTGGTAGTACGAGCACCTCTCCTGACCTAAATGTATGTTTCATTCAATCAATAGGATGATATTCAGTTGAACACTGTCTACATACCTTTCGGAGTTGCCCCAGGTCAATCGGGTATTTTTCGCGAACCATATGCGTCTGCACTAATCGTTTCTTCATCTCTCCAAACAGTCCAAGAAGCTCCCACGCTTGCTCATCTAATTTCAAGTCCTTCGGTGTATATCCTATGTCTGGCTTCAGGTGAGCATAGTCGCCCGCTATCGTTCGGTCAAATAGGAACATGAACTTGGCAGAGAACGCATTCAATATCACTTGCTGAGCACGATCGACATTCTTTTTCAACGCCCCGACAAGGCCACTCAAGACTTTGACGAAGTGAGTGCAACACGCCCTTTCCTTCTCCGTAATCTTACCATTCTTCTTCACGTATTGACCTCCCAAAAAGTCCGAGCAAGCATCAGCGCGAAGCTGATAATCTATTTTTGTCGGAATCGTCTTGGCATCGAACTTCCAAACGTGACGAACAAAGTCCTCGATGTCATAGTCGGTGTCAATCTTGTCAGAGTATTCGCTCTTGAGGAAGTTGACCAGGGCTTCATTCTTGTACGCGTTCTTCTCTTTTATCGATGAAAGTCCACGTTTGATTGGCGTTGGCGGTGTGAACGCGACTAGAACAAAATCCAGTTGTAATAACGATGCCATGTGTGGTGATTGAGACCTTACCTGTACGTAGCAATCTTGCCGGAGCATTGGGAATACCACGAGGAGTACAAGCAGAAGCAGGAACAGGCGGAACAAGAAACGACACGGCATGAGGTCGTTGCTCGGTAGTATTGTCAGATCCCTTGTCTGGCAACTCCTCGCTGCCGACGAACAAGAGGTTCTCTACCTTGATCTCATCAATGAAATCCTCGTCGTCGAAGGGCAGTCGGCCATCGGCAGGGTCAGCCATAAGAACAGAGAAGCAGGAGGTTTTTCCCAGGTAGTGGGTTCGAAGCCAGTGGATGTGGTGAAACGAAACCATGTTCCCTTTGTGACCTTGGTATTTATGTGGCATGTTTACGCGATGGCCAAAGATCTGTGGCCAGTGGCCGGGACACACAGGACACAATATAGGACGGACTCGGAGGTAGTCGTCTTCAATCTCGCCAGTTGCACTGCCTTCAAGCAGGACCCACACTGAAAGAAAATGTCCATCGCACCGTTAGCCTTGCATATTAGGATAGCGAGTCGGCACAGAAGTTCAACTCACAAGTGGCAAAGTATGAAACGCGACCCAAGTTTCGACGTTGTAGTAGATTGAGCTGAGAGAGCGACCTCCCAGTTCTATCGCAGCTAGATATTTGAAGGGAGAAAAAATATGATTCCTAGCGAAATCGTAAACACGTTGAGTGCAAAATGTGCAGCGATGTTGAACGTTGAACGGCTACCCAATCTAGAGACTTAGGCGTCTAGTGAAACTTTCGCGGAGTAGGTCCCCACTTCCGCCACATTCGAAATCGACGACTTCCGAGTCGCTGAATCGTTCAAGCCATTTTAACGAAGTGTGTCTGATAGTATTCGTACATCTAGGTATACAAGCATGGATTTCTCTTCGACAATTGAGAGGGTCGCTATTATACACTCGGTTTCGAGTCCGACGTTCTTGACATGAGTCCATTACGCCTTGATGAGTTTCCACATCTGCAAGCCCGCGCCGGAAACCATGTTATCGATTGAGAACTACATCTTAGTGAGCATACAATAACTCCTTCATCATTGGCGCAAAGAAGACGTACGACTTTGTTCTGGTTTATATCACTGGTGATACGGCCACTGACGACCTTGTGAGGGCTCCCAGCATCGGGTCTGCATATACTGGATTGTCCTTCAGACATAGATCACATATAATATGCAGAAAATGCGAAACTTACTAAAACCCAACAACTTTCAATTGCCCGGGAAGGAGAACCCAATTAGTTCCCTCAGTTGCAAAGCCCAAAAATCCACCGCAGTCGGCCACAGGAATTGCGCCGCTTGATGTTGCATACGACAGAGTGAATTGGGCAGCATCTTCGGTATACTTGAGTGCAAACTAGAGAATAACGAATGAGTACCAGAATATCGACGTCAAGACTAGGCACAACCTTCGTGCTAGTGGATGTTCCAGGTGTGATACGATAAGGGCTGCTCAATACAGTCATGTACGTCGTACTGTCATTGTAGCTTTGCAGTTGATAGTTGCCTTCTTCAACCTCGCGCTTGGCATGGACTGTGTCGTTCCCGAGTGGCACATACGATTCGAAGAACCAGATTTGACTAGGTGCAGTCTAACGTCTTGAAGCTTCAATTACTGTCACATGAGAAGAGCTTACAAGATACTCACGTCTGTAGGTTCAAGTGAAATCTATATATCCATATATCAGATTCTATTCGAGAGAGAATGGGCATCACATACATCATCGCCACTCTCAGCCTCATAATCAGCGAAACCAAGTGACAAGGCTGAGGGATATTGAGGAAGATTGATTCTAGAAGGATATATCTTGAATACGATTATGGCGGCTAAACATGAGTAGAATATTACTGACGACCATGCCAGTCCTTGGCCGATTTGACGGAGATCCCATTCGAAGGGCGTAGCGATCCCAACTAAGTGATCACCTACAGCAGACTCGGCAGAGTTACAGCCGAGGTATGTTGGGGTTGCCGGACCCGCGCTTTGGACCAAGTACAACCCGTTTTGCTGACGTGTCACCAGCCACTGGAAAGCATCAATCATACCGTTCATACAGGAAACACGAGGTTCCTACTCTTTGATATGCGTCATTCGAAGCTACCTGAGATTGCACAAACACGCTAGAATCTTCTGCTGCAACACCCTTTGGCAGGGTCATAAGGCTTAGCCCATTGAATGTGCGAACACGATAATAGCCAGTCGGCAATGGAAGCCTATTGGGCGTCGCAGGAGTGACTGGGATGAGGCTCCACCGCTGATTGTCATACGCCTAAATCGTCATAAGCGACCGAACGGGAAACGACGTCTGAAATAACTTCTGTGTCACGTACATTTCTCGAAGTCAGACTAACTACGGAGGTGTTCTCGGCTTGTAAGACGTATGATAAGGAATAATATATGCTAATATTATATCAGATATTGTCAACATCAGCACGAATTGGGGTTCATAGTCGAAGAGAGAGCCACTAACGAGTATGAGCTTGATTTAGCGTCAAAAAACACAGTCCATGTCCAAGCCGATGCCTTGGGCAGGACAGCAAGGTAACCGCCAGAATACCCAAGGTACTTGTCAGCGTCCACGATACTCTGGATATAAAAAGCGCCATTTCCTGCGTCAACAAATTTCCACTGCATATGACGGCGGTTAAACGTGACTTAGATCTAGTACACTGAACGAGACACTGACCTGCTGCTTCAATTCATTGGCCTTGAAGGGACGTAACTGGATACTTGTTGTGAATCCGGGAAACTCGATATACGACAAGTAGTCGAGGTTCTGAATGCGATAGTTGACTGTAGTGAGAGGATCCGACATGCTGTAATCAAGAACAGCGAACCTAGGCTATGTCCAAGAAGGATCGGATTGACTGTCTTTATACCACGGGATGACATGGCTGCATATTTAGTGTCCGGTCACATTTAGATGTTGAAGTTCCATTCCATTCTATGTGCCGTGATGAGCATATGTCAGATCGGATTGGGATCCGATCCCATGGACCAATTCAACCTGTTAAGGAGGAAAGACACCGACCTTTGCAGGACTTCCCCCCACAATTGATGCTGGTGTTACCACCAAGATCATGAGAATTCCGTGCATTGCATCGTACAGTATTCCGGCTGACTTCATATCGTGGAGACTCCTAGAGAGCCTAGGAGCGATTGTCATCCACTGACTTATATGGTATACATATGTTGAGCCAGCGACGGAAACTACAGTACAGAGTTGCATAAAATCCGGACAGATTCTATTTCCCAATTAGGCAATTGAACACGGGAAATGTCGGAAAAATATAAAATAGATCATAAGGGGTTATAACCCCCACTCTCTGGCTAACTTGGGTTATAATGGCATCACAAGTCAAAATGTTACTTAGAATGGCTCACAATGGCCGTTACAAGAGCTTATAATGAGCTTATAAGCCGTTGTGTTCCCGACTCTCCGGTTATAAGGGACTTAAATATTTTCCCGACAAATGGCGCGAAGTACTGAGCCTTACTGAGCCTACGATCGCTCCCTAGCTTCCTCCGCACTCCATGCATATGTCGAAGAGACATCAATTACGGATACTGGTAGAGTTTGGGACCTCGAGGCTGTTCACTCCTCAATTCCAGCTGTCAAACACTGCAAATATTCGCGGCGCCAGGTGCGTGAGCAGGCCCAGAAAGCATTGCGGATTCCAGTACTCATGTTAAGTAGATAAGGACAAGTGCCAGTGGGACTGCTTCCATTCAATGCTACGTGTCAAGTTGAATCTAAATGTGCTCAGCTGCCTGATCAGATGTCGTCCACGTTGACGGCATATGGAACGAGATTCCAGGATCCAGCTGACTCAGGATTAGAAGATACTAATGGTGCCTCAAGCATAGCATGCAATTGAAGTTCCTTGAAGGCTTACTTTCGAGCACAGCAGGAGGCGTCTCTCATCGATTCTCCCTTTAGTTTTCATCGTCTCCACCTAGATCACAGGGTGGGTGTTATTACAACCCCTGGTGATGAAACTGATTGAGCATCTGTTGGACAGTTCCTGGTCGCGATGAATTACATGGACAACGTAGGTCCATGGAAGGGCGTTCGCCATCGAGTTCTGCGCAATACATTGCGGGGACTCCACCGCGGTGACTTGCCCACGTTGGGTCCGGGACAAATGCAATTGTATTCTTTCTACACTCCGGGTCTCGCGACTGGGCTGTACGATATCGATACTGTCCAACAAATCGATGCTTCTGGGCAAAAAAAGGCCATCTCCGTCTCTCAGTCATTCTTGGTAACCGCTCCCAGGTTTTCCATTGATGCCAGCTTAATACATTCGACTTTCCCCCTCTCTGGCGTCACGGCACATCCAAACATTCTTCCTCATATTGTCTTCAATGACCCTCATTTGCCCTGGCAAACTGAGATCGGTCGTACCAGTGAGGATGATTCGATGCGTATTCCTTGGTTGGCCGTCGTTGCGTTCGAGCAGTCAGAACTGAAGATGACCCCGGAGGACACGGTATTTCCTTCTGGATTTCAGGGCGATCCACCAGCACAGTCGTTCACTCTCTCCTGCAACATGACCCTTCAAACGCTAACTCAGGCTGGTCTCCGTTGCGCGGTCCCTGACTTGAAAGAGTCCTTTGATCAAGAATCTGCCTTGCCAGAGACAAACGTCGATGTCATCTTCCCGAAGATGGACCTCTTTCTGTCTTTATTTTCTGACTCTGCAAATCCTCCATCGATTGACGTCGATCGTTACAAATATCTCGCACACGCAAGGCAGGTTAATACCACCCACATGGCTGATGCTGGAGTACTGGATGAGGGAACATTCAGTATCATCTTCTCTCATCGTACCGGGCCCCTGTTCAGCAAGGGTGCTCCTTCAACGATACCAAAGCCATGTGTAGTCCACGTCGTTTCCCTTGACATGGTGAATCAGATGCCAACCGCTGCTCCCGACGGTAGTGAGCGTGCAGCATTGATCTCCCTATACAGCTGGACGTACGATTGTCTTCCTCCCGAGACAATCAACTTTGAGGACGTAATGAGAGCAGTAGGGAAGAACAGCGATGTGTTTGGTACGCCTAAAGGGATTCGTGACAAAGCGGGAAAAGGGTTGCCATCAGGTGTCCAGACTCGAATTCAAGATCGTATCGATGATGGATATACACTTCTTCGTTACCGCGTTCAAACCGGGGAGGAGACGGTGGCGCTGACGCGTGGACCGCTCACCCCACGCCGAGTACAAAATCCCGAAGTTGTTGACAATGTTTGGTTTGATGTCCACTCGAATACAGGAGAAGATCTCCAAATTATTGACACTGCCCTGGGCTTGATAGATATTTCGTACTGCACCGCTTGGCAGCTTGGAAAGTCACTTGCAATCGCAGACCAAGCATTTTGTGCTGCCTTGCTCAGAATCCGAGGCGAAGTCCGCAATGCAGCGACCGAGCAAGCGAAGCAGGATACACTCTCTCAGCATTTCGAAGTGGCAACGTCAGAGCGAGTTATCGGCTCGCTTCCAGATACGTTCCAAAAGTTAACGACGCTGACACAGGACACACCTGGGCAGACGAGATGGCTGCGTCCATCTCTGATACAAAGTCGATATCAATACCTGAAGTCGGATGACAATGGTTTAAATAGCCGAGCTCACCGTTCCCTTGTCCAGCAGCACCTCATATCCCAAGTCAAGCTCCTGACTTCTGCAGCAGACGGGAGTCATTTTACGGAGTTCAAGGATCCAACAAACACTGATTGGAGCTTAGTATTGAACTGGTTGATGGATAAGATCTATCTGGAGGGTATTCCTCCGTACTATCTTATTCCTGACCCTACATGGCTGCCGTCAGAGAGCATCCGTTTCTTCTACGTCGATAGTAAATGGCTTAGTGCCTTAGTGGACGGTGCACTCAGCGTTGCCAATCACCTGGATAAGCAGGACATAGTTCGGCAAGCTATCAAAGGCCAGTTACTGAAATATCTGAACAAGGATATACATCCCGACATCAAGCATCCTCCTCAGGTCCCGACGTACGGGTTCTACCTTCGGTCGGTGGCCGTCAGCGTATTCCCGGATCTAGTCATTCGCGCACCATGGCCAGATCCAAATGATCTTAGGGCTGAGGTCCTAAGGCATGAGAATGTGAGGAAGGATGCTATGATCGGTTTACTCGATCGAACCCCTGGACAGCTCGATCACCTCATTCTCAGCCAGCCTCCTCATCAACAATGCTTTGCATTTGGTCAAGATGGAAAGCTACAGGAGGACTCGGTCACCTTGGAGCCTAGAAAGGTATTTTCAGTCCAACCTCGCGAAGACATGGATGTCTTTCCGGAGGTGCAGTACACACGTGGGCCTGACGGTCTCTGTGACGTATATGACTGGAATTGGCGTATACTACGATTGGATAATCTCGCCAAACTCATTTTGGACACTCTCCAGGACGCACGCATGAGTGATCCCGACATATATGACGGAACTGAGACCAACGCAGCGCTGATAGGCATCGAACTCAACGATCCAATATACAGATTGACGTTCACTGGCCCGAATGCCCCGGCGACGGATGTGGCGGCGAATGTCATGCCTGGAAATCCGCCTGAAAGAATGTCAACCTTCGCTTTGCCCGCCACCGAGTCTACTCGCACATCCCCCGATGACGAATTTTCTCGTCGATTCATAACCCCACCTGTGGCCAAGGAACGCACACGAGGTCCCCCTCGCAGAACAAACCAGCCCCTTCCGACTCTACTCATGGTTCCCAGAGATTCGACGGAAGGCCCTCCGAGGGCAGTCGAGCCAGCCACGCCATCTGTTATATCGACACACCAAGGTGCAGACGTTGACGACGTCGACACTTGTTCTCCCCGACTCGACGCAAATTGTTTCACCTATGGTCACGTTCCTTCACCAACTCCTGGAGAAGATGATGTCAAAATGCTCTTATTGGACCCTACAGGACGAACCGATGTAATCTTCAAACTCCATCGCAATTCAGTCGATCCTGACACCACCGACTACATCAGTAACATCAAGCTACTGATTCCCGTTGGCGATCAAGCTGACTGTTTGTTGAGCTCGTTGCCTGGCATGTATGATGCGCGAATGCTCAACAATTCCCGCATTCTGCCTTTTATCAGGAGTATCAATTATGCTGGAGCGGATGATGCGTTAATGCTCAATGTTGTCAGCTCTGATCTCCTGCCTCCAGTCACTAGCGATTCTGGCATTGTTATCATCGAGCTCAAACCGAAAGCGCAGTCGAAGTTGACTCCGCTCAACCATAACGTGGACCTATCCTTCGTGCTTAACGGAGCAATTATTAGACCAGAGGCCGAGGAGATCAGGGTTCTTATCATCGAATTTTACAGGAGTAGAGAGGGTAATATGAGGGTAGCTGTGAACGAAATCTATCCAATTGGAGTGAAGATGACATGAAGACGGTTGTATCGGAATGCATATGTAGTTCGGAGCATTGGTCTGACGTAACTTCTTTTTGGTTCTCATTTCTCGACTTCGTGCTCAACAATGTAATGAATACCATGTATCGTTCTCAAATTCAGAACCTCTGTTCCCACTCAACAATGACCCATTTCTGGTGCAATAGTGTTGTTTAATTGATTGATGTTCATTGACGCATATGCATGGGAATATGAGTATCATGACAGCATGTTGAATGAGAGCCAGTTACACTGGGAGGCATCCTACATGAGCAGGAGGAGTAATGTACAGTTCGATGCAAGAAAGTCACTTAGGCAGAAGTCAAAGATGGGATATCGAGATATACGGTCTGGAAGTTCTTCAGTAGTAATTCGGGTCCTCTTCCGACAAGTTTCTCTGTCCACTTGAAGGCTTCCGCCAAGGCATTCACGATGCATTGAGGATCTGTCGGTGGCAACGACCAAGCCGCCGCAGCTTGCTCAAATGATTCAGCCTCTTTGGGAAGCCAGGAAGTAGCCTCAGAGGATGGATCGCCATCGGGAAACGCCTCGTGTTTTATGACTTCAACGTACATTGCATCGTGGGCATTGTAAGGCGGAATATGATCATCAGGATACTCTGGCAAAGGTGCAGTGACCATGGCGCCCATCAACATCCCATTCAGAGTTGAGTTACTTCCATCGAGCATGGAATCAGAAGCAGGATGCCTAGATGGATCTTCCCCTTCGGCATCTACAACAATTATGGGTCATTTTGGATTCAGTACATGTGGGAAAAGTGAGCCGATAAAGATGTTGCTTACATTTTCCCCACTGCGCAGACGGAACGTTCTTGAGAATTGGTTTGAACGTGAACCCGCTCTCGACGGCTGACGTCTCGCGCTTAGTGACAGTAACCTGCAGAGTTGAGATAATCTCATCTGTCACGTGCATGGGCTTGGCATACACAGATAGTGTGCTTGAAGCCACATCAGTCCACCCCTTCTCGTCCTGCGACTGTACAGTCTTCAAAGCGAAACGACACTGAATGAGGAACTTGAACTTTCCCCCAGTGACTAACCAGGGTTCTCCGGGAACAGGTGTGACGTTCTTGTTCGTCCCCGGGGCATAACCGTCCTGCACAACAAGAGTTATCCCAGCATCCTTTCCAGCGTCCTCCTGGTTGCTCGAACGTGCCAGCAGGTCCCAAAACTCATCCAGTAACAAAGGGGAAGGTGGACCAGGATGACTGCCGAAGTAGATGTCAAACCCAAACAAGTAGAAGTTAACATGGACATTTCCGCCGAACGGAGGGCCCTCGAGATGAAGGCTCGCGCCTACGTCAACCGAAATATGAACATGGACAAACCAGACTTTCGCTTCGAAGCTGACGCCAACCTCGACACCAATATCGCCAATGAAATGGAATGGGTTCCAAACCATCAGAAAGTCAGCATGGGCATCTAAGTGGGCCGACAGTGGGCCTGCTGAAAATACAATTGAGAGTGAACCCCCGCCCATGCAAGCTTTGGGAGTAACCGCAAAGTACGCTGCTCCCGTGATGCCGATATGACTATCAAGTTTCCATGATATAGACAGCCTGTCTGGTCCAGGGTAATACGCAGGAGGTTTGTATGCAGGGTGGTATCCTCCAATCTACAATCACAATGACCGTTATCAAAAATTGGACATGTGTGACAGTTAAATGGAACCCACACTGAACACGAAGTCACCCGCATAGGGAGACGGATCAAACCAATAGTACATGGCAAATCCACCGAGCAGGTGACAAGAAGGATGGAGTAGGAAGCTGTTGGGAGAAAGTTTGCCTTCAACGGCAAGGGTCCCATTCTTTATGTCAACACGACACGTAATTCCGAGTTCAACATAGGCAAAACAAAGTTCTCGAGGAGCTTTGGGCGGGCAAGAGCAAACGGCATCGGCGAACAGCCCAATGCTGACATAGGGATCGATTTCGATCGCAGCGACCGCACGTATATCGAGAGTCTCGAAAGCTAAGACCTCTAGTCCAGCGGCAAACCAGTATGAACCGTTCTGTGGCACGACCCACACTTTAAAGACGGCATCCGAGAGAACCGTGAGGACGTTCGATGCACTGGCAGCACCCTCCGCAGACTCGGCACTGATACCCTTCACTAGCGGGAAATCAAGGATGTTGTTGACGTCAGGATAGGTTAGGTGAGAATTATACCTAGATATTGTCGGTTCAGTGACCCAAAGGCGCACTTGGAACATTGAGTCTTACCCAAAACCTAGCGTAACACCGTTGATGGTGGCAAACTCCAACTCAATGAGAGGTCCACGAAGCTGCCCAAACACGAAGAAGGTCTTGTAAGAGTTCTTCGAATCGTCTTCAATAACTCCGTACGATCCAAGCGCAAGGAAGCTGTATAGGTTCAAGCCGATAGCCACGCCTCCCGCAAAGAGTTCCGCAGTTGGTGTTGATAAGTCCTCAAACATACCCGCGAGGAGAATGGGTGGCTTATCCAGAGCCGCAGCAAGACCACGAAGTTGCAAAGCGAAGTTGGAAACATCAAAGTCGGTGAAGAAGTCAGCAGTGATTTTGGCTCCGATGCCAAAACCAAGCAAACTAAGCCCTACAGGTCCCAGCGCAAGAGTTGCATCAAAGACGATGAAGAGCTTTTCGTCCTTGAACTGAAGCCCGATATTAGCAAACGAAACAGGTCCAACGGTCTTGTGTACCGCCGCTGACGACACGCCGCCCGATGATACATCGCTCGATGAAGTTGATGGGGTGGGTTTATCTGCTTTCGCTATCTTGCTCGAGGCTACTGCCGTTTCCGTGGATGTATTCTTCTTGAAAGTGTAGTCCAGAGCTGCCTGGATTCGGAGTCACAGTCAGTTCAGTTCAGTATAACGTCAAGTTAGTGTTGACTCGCCATAAGTGTCCCACTATCATTAACCAAAAGCATGAAGTGACAACCGGCAGCAAGGACAACATCGGTAGTGGAAGGCTTCGCCTTCGTCTCCTTGAAGAAAAGGCCAGGTGCGCTAGGAAATGCTGTGCTGTTGATCTTGTCAACTTCGTTCCTTGTCAAACCAGGGGATGTAGTGTTGGGATCATGCACCCATAAGAATTGCAGACCGTCAATCGGATTGTCCAGCTTCCCAACAACCGGAATTTGCAACGACGGAAGGACGTAGGTGAAGGAGAACATGAGTACCCGTTTCGGCTTTTTCGCTGTTCCACCGGACTTAGGCTTCGGATAGCTGAGCTGGAGAAAGGTAAAGCGTAGGTTGCCAAGTTTTATTTGCAGGACAAAGATTAGACCAGAACCTGGAGCTGACGGTTGGGCACAACTCAGATAAATCGGAGAGTCTTCCCAGTTGTCCGGCATGTCACCGTCATGAGGAATATCCAGGTTAATGTCAGCAACGAAATCCGGGAGCTCGAATGATTGGGCATCTTCACCGCAGATGGATGCCAGTACATCACCAAGGGTGCAGCCTGCAGAAGCACCAAGAGCAGCCTTCACCTCCCACCCAGTGCCACTGTGTGAAAACTTCAGGGCAAACTCTATGCCGGCGATGACGATGTCACCAACAAAGTCGAAATTACTCGGTGTTCCGTCTGTGTTGTAGTTGTAAGTCAACGAGATCGATTGGATAGTGATGACTCCCAAAATGTCGCGGACTTGGGATTGTTCGTCATCGTGAAAGAACGTGAGGAGGTCACCGAAGTTGATATCTGATAACAAGCCAGTCAACGTCCAACCTTTAGCCTTCTCATAATCCACAGATGCAAATAGGAAACCGCAGCCATCATTGCAGTCGGGAACCGGTCGACCCGCTGGATCAGCAGTCGGCGGTGGAGGATGCAGATTAACGGTAGCTGCGATAGAGAAGGAGAAGGCCTTGCTCTTCCAATCATAAACAGCTGCAAGATCGAGGCTATCGAATGTAATCGGCGGGACATGACTTTCATCGGAGGCTGGGGACGAAACCGATTCTAAGAATGCTGAGAACGATATTTGGGATCCGTTGACTTCAATCATTGCTTCTGTGATCTCAGTCGGAACACCTTGAGGGGTAGCGGTGATAGGGACTCCTGGAATCAAGTCGAGAATTGAGAGGCTTGCTCGTATTTTGGATGAATCCATTGTCGGTGTAACCTCGACCAGCTCCTCATAGTCAGGCATGAGCTTTCTCCAGCTTTGATCAGGGGCTTCCGGGGTATATAGAGTACCACGGAAAAGCATTCGAGGCCAAACAAAGGTGAGCATGAACACTATATCTTTACCATCTGATTCTCCCGATGGTTTGCCAAGTTTGAGCGTCACCTGGGCATCAACAGAAACCATAGTGACCTTGAAACCGGAATCTTTACGCAGAATCTGGACGGAAATTTGCAGAATATCGGCCGTCTTGGATATCTGGTCTAAAGCGTCCCCGAAACTAGAGACGAGGTCAGATTGGCCGACGGCCTTCAATAGGTTTTTGGCAGCATTCAACGCTCCATTAGGCCACCGCAGAGCAAAGGTATAGCTCTCTGGGTTACAAAACATGACGGCGTTGAAGTCCGGATATGCCAGCGACAAGCCAAGTTCTGGGGCTTTTTCGCAGCGAGTGTCCTCAGACGTTATGTGCTTCGACATGCGCCGCTTCACGATCACTGTGATTGATGAGGGCACAACGCTGTCCAAGCCTACGCCCTTCAGTATGTTCTGTAGCTCGCTCTTGGTATCCGCCCAATCCCCCGCTTGGGCAACAGCCTGCAACCGGAATGCTGCTGAATAGTTTTCGAGTAGCGGACTAAACCACACCGCACTCTTGCTGCCATCCAAGGTGAATTTAAGATCTGAACCGAATCCAATGATGTCGGAAGAGAGATGGGAAAATGCCAGGAGGTCGGCGAGGGTGATTGTTTCGGACGGCTTGTTCGACATGTCAAAACGAAGAAAATGATTCAACGGGTCGAACGTAGAAGATTCCACGTCATAACCAATCTTGTGACTAGGTCCAAACGATAACGAGACCTCTTTGTCGGATGCGAAGGGTAGAGGTACAATGAGATCAAAATGATCAATCACCACCTCGTCCTTCACCAGCGTCGCAGTGACTGTAATCTGGACTTCCGTATTCTCGGCTGATGGTGAAAGTGCGCTTGTAAACCAGGCCAACCATTCGTCACATTCATCGAGTTGAATGGCAGTAGCGGATTCTGACGAAGGGGACTCAGCAAGCGTGATATAACCAGGCGTCAATGCAGACACAAAGGCATCCCACTCAGTGGCGACGGCTGCTGATTGGCTTGGATTCTGAGCCTCGACTAGGGAAGACATGATATAGAACCTCGTCCCCCCTTCCAGAGCCTGAGCATGAAGCAGAGGTGTCGCAGCAGAAAGGATAGAACGAGAACCAGGGGCAGAGATTAGCGTGACTCGTGATTTTACACCATCCATGATTGGTGCAGTATCAGGTTCGGTACTTGCCCCCTTCTTTTTCTTTTTCGGGGGTTCCTCGTCGTCGATTGAAGGTGGTTCAACTACTACCACGCTTGCAGGCGGTAAAGCGTATGGCCACGGAGCAAGGAACTCCACCCAACGACCCTGAACGAGGTCGTCGGAATAAATCCGAACAAATAAGACCTGGGTCGCAGGCGTGAATGGCGTGTAATGTCTCGTATAATTTTTCTTTTTGGTATATCTGGCATCGACAGGTGGAAGGGTGGTATCGTGTAGGATGCAGAACCTTTGAAGTATGACATTCTCGAGCCTGTCTCGAAGCCACACTGCCTGATCCGCTTCCGTGCGTATACCTGTGCTAATGAAATCTCGCACCAAATCGAGTGCTACATCCGTAGCATCGAAAAGGTCATTGATCGTGTCACGATACTCGACGTCTTCGTCGCTAGTCCCCAGTAGTGGGTTTTCCGCCGACACAACCGTACCCACGAGCTTGGCGTCCGGAGAGTTGAAGTAATAGGGAAAGCATGTGAGATAGAAAGGGCGTAGAGGTAAGCCGTCACTCTGCATAGCGGCATGGGCACCACGCCATGACACCAGGTATGAATACACGTAGAGTAAAATATTCCAAGCTGTAGGTGGTGAGGATCCATTAGATCCATTAGGTCATCTAAAGACGACGAGAAAGTGACTTACAAGGGTGCCTATGTTTATTACCTGCCGAGAAGAGTATAACGGACGGTTTGAACGTCTGGCACATATTCAGAGGAAACGACGTCGGAGCTCCATGATGGCTTGCTTTAACGATCGGTACCGTATCGGGAATGTTCGGTCTCTCAGTAGTACGCGACGGAATGGGTAGTAGCCTCGTCCACTTCACAACACCTGCTTCTAAGTCTGACTCTGCGTCGCCAGCTAAGTAGTGCGAAACTGCACCGTTGGGGAGATCTGTACTGGGGGGTCGAATGATGAGACAGACAATAGAGCTGCGATTTGTATATGAATGTGGAGTGTGCTTCTCGACTGCGCCGCAAGGGAGATATCGATTGTTTGCCGCCACGCAGAACAAACCGGGGCGGTCGCCTTTGTAGAATGAGCCGTGCGCTTTATACACGTCTATGAGGTTTTGAGGGCTTGTTGCAGATCTAGCACCATCGACTAATTCGCCAGAAAAGAGCTCTCGACCAATGACATTAGACGAGTCTGCGGACTGCAATTCCGACGGATCACCATTCAAGGTCGTTTTTGCCACCTTCGTCATGTCTGCAACCACCTTGCAGATATTGCCCTTGCGATCTCCCTTAAACCCCATGATCCTTTTGCTCTCCACAGTCGAGTATACAATATCGAGCTTGCCCGGAATGTTCTTTTCTTTATCTTCTTCATACGGAATATAAAGAACAGACAAGGGGTTGCCTGCGTCATCGTATTTGAGAAAAGAAACCTGAAGAGGTGACGTGCCGGACACTCCTGCAGCCAGCTGTACATCTAGGTCGTTCGTCAGCATTTTCAAGATGCCGACATAGTGATCTGTGTCCCAATGTGTGATCACCATGGCATCGAATTTGAGAGAGCCAGCCTTAAGTGAGTATTTGTCTTCAATGACTCTGATCGTCGCCTGTATGTTCGTGATCCGCCCGCCATCTTGACCGCCATCGATGAGGACGGCTCTCAAGAGGTTGGCAGGGAGCGTCGGACTTCCAGGATCTTCGAGTAGGAGAATAATCTCGCAATCTCCGACACCAATATTCACTTGATAGTAGTCGACCGGGTATGTCACTGTTGACATTCTACAAGCCATGCGTGAGCTATAATGTCCCACAAGTTAAACAGAGACTCGCCTTGGGCATAAGATAGTCAGCAAACTATCTGGGAAGCCGGCTTATCTCAGGGCACCTTATATCTCGACACGTTCTTCAGGTCTAAATGTAACTTCCATGCCTATGCTCATGGGATGTGCAGCGTTCCTCACTTCCATTCTTCACTTCAATCACCGGCCGCAAAGCCTTCACTGCAAAAACGCTCGGCGAACAGACCTGGGGTAACGTGGTCTCCCCGCGCATTGACATCCTCAGGAACTGTGCTGTGAGAATCACCATTTAAGCAAGACGGGAATAGAGCTTACATTGTCGCTATCTGACAGTTCAACCTTGTCAGAGTGTGATCCAATAACAGCTCGAGCATCGCTGGATTGAGACTACATGTGTCATGCCCTATGTACTAGGCGCGCTTTTATTCCAACCGAACAGAATGATTCAAATATGCATTCAGAGAGCTATGAAGCAGAGGGGGGCCTTGTTGATAGCCCGAGAGGTATAAGCTTCGAAGAATCCGACCTTGAGGTTCCCGGCAACGACCCGTCTAGTATTTCTCCATTTCAACAGCTTTGTATGACATTTGTACGACAATTCGATTAGACGAAGGAGGAGGGCATAGCAGTGGTCAATATGTTACGCCGTTCATTCATTGTAGGTTTAGTCCGAACTTACAAAGACGAAGAGACTCAGAGAGTGCAGACACCTGGGCGTCTCCTGCCGTTTTGCACGCGCGCTTTATGAGTGCTTGATGCCTTTCCTTTAGTTTCCTTTCGACGACAAACAATAAGGATCATTCAAAGCAGCCAGCTAGTGAATCTCATCGACATCCTGAGTATTTGACGCTTTCCAAATATTGCACCTTATCTCCGATAACTCCAGCAGCTTCGATACAAGATGGTTCGTTGTTCGCGTGGCGGTATGTGACCTCCTGCCTTTTCTTCGCAACATATATCTATGTCTACGTCTCAAAATATATATTCTCTCTAGGATATTTATGTGTACATCGCTTCGACGTGGAGGTGATACGCTCGATTTCCCATATATACTTCGACGCATGAATAGACTGATCGAGTTTCCGCGAACCTTGCTTCCCCCTCCCGATGATTGTTCCTCTAACTCACTCAAAATCATTCCCATCTTCGGACGTTCTAGTTGTGCTGTCCCACTTATAACTTTGGGCTCAACTCATATAACATGATTCGGATTAGATTGATATATTACACTTATGGTCACATTTCTGTAAGTTTAATATTGCTAGCGCCCTATACTCTAGCATTGACTGAATATGAAGGGCGGGGAACAGCACTATCAACCAGGATTGACAGGTTGACGTACTACATGGAACTATGACACTCTTCCCTTGAACGTTGTTATCCCATGACCACCTCATGTTCTATCGGACACGCCACCGCTGGACTTTCTGTTCTGTTCCATGCCTCAACTCTTCGAAAGACATCATGCTCCCATGAGCAGCAGATAAGGTGCCCAAACTCACGTCTAAGTTCCTTGTTTGAGCCCGCTGTGAATCGTGCTCAACGATGGCGGCCCAACCCAATGTCTGTATTCCCATGAAATTGGAGGCCTTCCGCTTGAACGCAGCAGCGTGCAATGGTCCATCTCGTTTGGCTCCGATATCCCAACCCGAGTATGCCCATCTTCGTCTCAACGAGCTCTTAACGCACGACGTTCAAGTCGATGTCGACCTTCACAACACCAATCGTGGCCCCGCATTCAGCGACCGGGTTACAGATTTATCGACAGGGGAACTCAAAAGGAACAGGCTTGGTGTCTACATTCGTTGGCTCATCCCGCGTTTTTACAGAACCGGTCTCTCTTTCACGCAGTCTTCTGAGCAGGACGCTCCAGATCTGAGAAACAAGCGTGGATACAAGTCAGTAGACGACGCTGAGGGTGTCGTCGATCCCCAATCCCCCACCTATCGCCCACTCCCGACTCGATGGGTCATTATACGCCATCTCCTCACCAAGGAACCACCTGAAGCCAACATACCTGATTTTCAAGCATTCGTCATCGAGTCCGATCGTCTGAGGAAAATGGAAGACCTCGGGTCTGAGGTCGATATTCAGGTTGATGTGTCCCCTTTTGTCTACATGGATAGAGATCGCGACACCCTTGACTACCAAGCTGAGACTTTCATCGGTTTCAAGCAGCCGCTTGAAGATTGGACCGAGAGTATGTCTGACCGGAACATCCTCAGAGTCCCACTCTCGGTCTTAACCAGCACCAATCCCCTCTTCACCGACTATCAACCTCATAATACCAACGTCCTCTCGATGGTGGATAATTTTGCCTACGAAGACGGTAACGGTGAGACAGCCTATCTGCAGAATGCTACAGCAAATTACTACGTTATGGGGTGGCATCCTGATGCGTGCGATGATCCCTTCCATCTCTCCGACCAACAAGCGCCATATCCTTCCCATGCGGATCGTATCGATGCCTGCTTCATGCAACTGTTTGGCACCTCAGCCGTCACGGATGAGTGGATGAAGACTTCTTTGTCCCCAGATGAGCCGACCAGGGCAATCACACACGGCGCACTCTACGGCATCGAGTGGGATCTGAATGAGAAACCTGCGAGCGTGCCAGCAGATGCCATTGCCAAATCATATGACGACTGCTCTCCGGTTTCCGTTGGGCTCAACCCAATTGATGCTTTGCTTGCGGTCACTCATACTCGCGCTCTCTCTATCGACAAAGAGAAAGCTGAACGAGGCTCCGACGAAGATGCGAAGCCTGATCCTCTTGCTCAAGATCTACTCTCCCTACAAACTTTAGTGATCAAGCAGCAGGAGGATCCGGACTCTCAATTGCAGGGCGCAGACCAGCTTTCCACTGGCTTCTTTGTTCCCGCGGAGAGCGGGCTGCGTTGGCACGTCTCCGGAGCAGTGACTAGCACCGACGACAAGAGGCCTACCGTGCCCAGTGCTCAGGAGTTGAGTGACCTTGATACGGTGAATGCCTATCAGATGGCGCTCGACCTCTGCACACGCGAGATGAAGTGGTTGCAATGGCAAATTTGGGCGGAGTGGTGGAAATGGGTCAGTTCCCATCGTCGACATACTGACGAAGAAAAGAGAGCGATAAACGATAAAGTCAACGAGATGGTTAACCGCTATACCTTGCTTGACATCGAGATACAGGGATGGAAGCGAAGAATGCAAGAGATCGTTCAGGAATATAACTGGGAAACGATCACTGCTCCTAGGTATTATAGCACTAGGGACCCGACGATGTTGCTCTGTGGCATGAAGAGCGGTTGGCCGACGGACTTTGGTGACCTCCTAAAGGTCCGACTTGATTCTCAGATCGTCGCAGTTAATGATATCTATGATGCTAATCCCGATGGGTGGGAGATCATCGACCGTTCCCTCTCGGCGATCTCGCAGAAACTGCCTACTGCTTTCTGTGATACCGCCAAAGCATTGTTGACGGAATTCTATATTCTTCGTCCAGTCCCTGCTGATACGCCACATCTCCGCCCAAACCCTGATAGTAAGCTACTCTATCCTTTGTATCACGACCAGGATCCGTCTGTAGACTCTGATTCAGGAAGTCAGCCTGTTTGGAGGGATCGGTGGAACGGCACACAAGCCTGGTTCCCACTCTTCGCCGAATGGGAGATGGAGTACTTCCACATCGATGCGGATAATTGGGTCCTTGCGCCACGCAAACCATATGGCCCACCCAAGTTAACCGCCAACATCAAGGACGGGGTCGATGTCGCGGGCGTCACTAACAGACAGACAATCACTGGGCGGTCGCTTGCACTTCCTCAGACCACGGCAATGCTCAAGAACACTGTGGAGCAGCTAGTGAAGAACAAATCCACGCAGCCTGAAGATATGGACGCCATTCATGCTGCGATCAACAAGCTTCAGTTCTTGACTATATCTATCAATGGGCTTTCGGAACACTTGACCACCAGGCTTAGGGGTAAGTCCTTGTTCTTTCCAGCATACTATTCTCCGAGACTAACTTCGCTCGTGACAGGGTCTCATCTTAGTCCTACCATGTATCAACCTGGTTATGGACCTCAACCACTTGTAGAGGCCGTGAGTGCTAGCAGGGGTGTAATCGATGAGAACGCCATTCGTCTCATGCTGGACACTACCATGACACCTTTTGGCGATCTTCCAATTTTGGGGGACGCAAACTATAGCCCTTTCAAGCCGGCGACGCATGGCCAATTCCGATTCACCAAACTCAACATCGTTGATATGTTTGGTCAAGCTATTTCTGCCATTGACCCTGCCCGAGGTGTCCATCCAGACCTTCGTCCTTACATTAGCGAGTTTTACGCCTGTCAAGTGGATGAGTCCTCTGGCTCGCCTCTTCCGCGAACGGTACAGCCCGCTGGCGCTGGACCTGAGGTCGGGGCTCAATTTGCACAGATGGGACCTGCCATCAACCAAGATTGTCGACTTAATTCACATTATGTCAAGTGGGACGACGAGCACAATGCGTGGGTTCCGGTCACAGAGTATGATAACCCTATCTGGGGATGGCTTGTCGTCAACTACGTCGATAACGGTCTACAGGTATTTTTGCCGAACGGGACATTCTATCGAGAGATTCGTCTCGGTGGACCAGATGGGACTTCCGAGGGCATACGGGCGTGGTTGCCTTTCAAAGCCCCTGACGATGATTCAAATATCCCCCTGCAGCTTCGTGCACTCGTGCAAAAGCTGAAGGATGCCAACTACCTCCAAGAATTCTTTGACGTTATGACTGGAGCACTAGACGATACCATGTATGCCCCCAATCAGTACGCAGGATACCTTCCCGCGATCACGGGTAAACCATTCGCTCTCGTCAATGCGGGGTTTTCTTTGGAATTATCTCATCCACCCCATGTCAATCAGTCAACCAACGTCCCCGGCGGTGTCATCCCTGAACCCGATCTTGAATCGTACGGCTTCCAAGTCAAGTTCGGTGACCCAGATAGGACCTTCGACGGCATCCTTGGATATTTCAGAAATAAGTCAGTAATGGATTTTGACCTGGACAACTTCTACACTTACTTTCCTGGGAGCAATGGAACCGAGAGCATGACTGTTCTTATCGAGCCGGACAATTATCCGGTACTGCGGCCATTTTACAACTCAGCTGGTTCCGGCGGCATTCATGATTATACCGTCAAGACGCCAACACAAATGTTGACGGAGTATAACGACCAACTTCAAGTCTTTGGGATGCTGGTGGATCCGTTCACACAGATCCATGCATATACGGGCATCCTACCAGTTCAAGTACTCCGTCTACCTGAATGGGCGCTGGAACAATCTCTGAAGAACATCACCGCCTTCTTTCACCTGGGGCCAATCATCATGCCTCACGATGCTCCTTTGTATGATCCAGCACGGGTACTTACGTCCGGTTCAAGTCTAGACAACATCCCTGCACCACCCGAAGGGACTCCTAAATTCCCGGTACCATCAGTAGCTATCGCAGACTGGGCTTGGCTTCAGCCATATGCAGAGTCTGCAGATGTTGACTCGATCGCTTTCAACCCATTCTCACTTGATGCAGTCAGTAACAAGCCTGAGCTTGGAAGCACTCCATACACTGCCGTCGAAGGATATCTTTACCTGAAGAAACCAATTACTAGTCTTGACGTTTCTCCTCAGTAGCACTCTATTTTTTCTCTAAGCGCTTTGTATAAAGTAGCAACCCATACAATGCTGAGCCCGGATTCCAAGTCTGTGTGTTCGAAGGAAGATCCTGGCGCAAAGCGGCTGCGAGACAAGCTGGCCCAAGCTCGCAATCAAGAGATTCAGGGCAGCCGAAAATTTCCAATTGTTTTTCACAGTTCGCAAAGGCCATGCAAGTGTGATATTACCTACCAACGAACGGGGAGAGCTTCGATCTCCAGCCAGTGGGATTAGGGCGTCGTCGAGCAAATAGCGAGATGGGGTTCTCAATGGTGGTCCAGAGTTTGTGTCATTTGTGTCAATAAGGGAAATGGTATCATGTGCCACAATGTGATCCTTGATACAACCAGTCGCACTCAGGAACGGAAGGAATAACTGGAATTAATCGCACCCGTGCTTTAGAAGTCGCGACTCGGCCTTATCTCAGTGTAACGGACAATCTACCTGGTACTTCCGAGTCGTTTTCACATATCTCAGCATCCCGTACTGCAGGAGATACCTTCATCAATACGTCAAGCAAATGCACTCATCCGAGGTGCGCATAGGCTTAGTTGTCGGTGTCTTTCGGAGAACCTGGGTTGCGAAAGAGAGATGTGTTAACACCAAGTGAGCCTATATGCACTAGCTGTAGGATACTCGTCCGATCATACGGTCGATTTTCCACCTAGTATTGAATTGAGAATACGTAGAACGGAGGACCGGTTTTCACCCAGTGGACTGTCCGGTCGATAATCAGATACGAATTGAACTATAATCTGCGAAAGCAATTCCGTCGAAAATCGGATAATTGGAACCAACGTTGTCAATGAGAACTTGCGAAGGATGAATTCTTGACTTAGCTTTCTTGCCGTGGATCCCGAATGATAGTCTCCCTAAGGCAGAGTAGCCAGAGACGCAACCTTCGTGCCTCAGGATATCTCTGTCTGACCCGACTGAGCAGTGTGTTCGTTGGCAAACGCGCGCGCGCCGCGCATTATACATGAAGCTTTCACACCATAAATGGATCTGATACTCACATTTTGCTGTATCTATAGTGAATTAGAATAGTGTAACTCTGTAGTAGGTTATGGAGAAGAGGAATTGTGACGTGAACATGTCATGAGTCTGACATTGTGAAGAGAGCTCGCCAGAACCCTCAATCGTGCCACTAAATCTATGAATACGATTCCGAGCAGAAGCCAGAAGATTCATGAACCGTGCCAGAGCTCAAAGGTATGGACTGTCGAAACTTTGAAACTGAGAACAAGCGTTTTGCCAATGAATGGGATCTAATCTTATCTCCTTCAAGTTAGGCGCTTCTGCAGACCTGACATCTTGACTTCATCCTACTATGTGCCATGGAAAATCCTGGATTTCTGCCCCGCATTTCTCATGAAGATGTATCTCAAGCTGCGCAGGCATGTTCCATCTTGATTAAATCAAGAACTGCTACTTCATCGTCCGAAAGTGTAGCTAATTCAACAAGCCTACAATCCGCAATCTCAATTGTCCTCGGAAGATCAAAGACGGCTTCAACAGCAGTTATTTGACATACAGAAGAGGGCAGAAGCATGGGGACTGGTCATTCCATTTTTGAATCACTCAGATTATAATGTGCAATTCTTTGGAGCACATACCGCTCAGGTAAAGATTGCGCGAGACTGGTGAGTATGAATTCCGCTCGGCATTGCGAACGGAGGCCTGTTTGCATCTACTACTTTGACTTATACCATCATATTTCATCCTAGGTCATCATTTCCCGAAGAGAACGCTCCACAGCTGCGTGAGCTCATAGTGGATCTTACTGGTCTTGCTATCACGTCTGGCCGAAGTAAAGTGATATTACGCAAGTTATTCGTCGCCGTGCGTTCCTGCTCATAATACCAGAACAGCTCACGTTTACGTTGCACTAGATCAGCTCTCTAGCCCTCAAGCTATCCTCACGTCAACCTTCACAATGGCCTGACTGGCTTGTTTCGACTGTTCAGCGACTGTCCGTTATGGGCGCTTCTTCAGAACATTTACTTGACTTCCTAGCAATAGTGGCCGAGGAAGTGGAAAGCGCTGATCTGCTTGCAAGCAACAAGTTCGGTCCAGTTTCCTTCCCTATGTAGAGGCATATCCTCACAAAATATATTCATAGATCGACCATACGAAGTACACTCTCGGACGCCATACCCATGGTGACACAAGCGATCGTTACATGCATGTCAAGACCGCGGCCGCACCCTTCGCCGAACGAGCTACGATCGGCTTTGAAATGCTTGGAAGCATGGCTTTCGTACCTCCCCGCTGAGTGAGCTGTTCTGGGCCGCTTTGTTGCTATAATAATTACTTATATTGGCGACTAGCAATATCACGCCTCTTATACCTGGCCTACTCATGCTTCTTACACCTATGCAGCAGTCACCACCTTATGAATTTGAGGAGGAGGAATTTGTTCCTGCATCAGATGCACTGCAAGAGATAATGTCCAAGTCTGCCCTCTCTGATGGTGCCGGCACGAAGACATTGACGGAACCCCTGCTGGTTTGGTGCGATCGTTATGGCGGTGCCCTAATTGAACAGACTTTGAGCGGTAAGTCTTTGTTCGTTTCAACTTTTGAGATATTTCACTTAAGGCTGATCGGGATTTTAGCTGGATTTGCAGATAGCGTATCACGTTCCTTCTGCAAACTTCTCGCCGGCTTAGGCGAACATTCAAACCAGTATCTTGCTTCCAGTCTTGCATCATCTGTAGTTCCATCACCCGTCCTGCCTGACATCCTCGCCTCACCATCGTTGCCGACTAAATCACATCTAGTGCACAACTACCTTAAACTGCTTCTCGCATATACTTCTCTACCTGGATATCATGGCGTTGACGAAGAGGAAAGCGAACTCACACTCGGATTCTGGTATCTTTTCCAGGAGGCGCTGTGGAACACCGATGCAGAATTGGATCAGGGGGAGGTTGACGCCGCAGAACACATCAAAGCGGAAAAGGATCAATGGATCGTGGCGAAAGCAGTATACTCGGAGTTGGTCAAAGTACTACGACGTAAAGTGGTGTGGCCACCTGCTGACGTTCTTCGTGGATGGACGAGAGGTTGGTCTTCTGTCATGTTCTTTCAAATCGAGAGACTGTTAACTGTCGTCGCTTAGACCAGCGGGACAAATTTCAAGCGTGAGTTATCTTTTTGCATTGTTCGTCATGGTGATACTGAGACTTGAGACAATTCATAGTTATCGCCGGGACGTCGGAGACACTCTGATCAATGCTTACTATATTCTTCGCGATGACATGGTCACATACTATGTTGACGAACTTGCACGCTATCTTTCCCTCAGACAACCCAACGATGGGTGGGAGGTATGCCAGCACCTCGGTTTTGTTACTTTAAGCTAACTCGTCGTCATTAGGAAGCGGAAGGCACATTACATTGTATCATGGCCGTCCAGGAGTCTATTCCCATTGAGCCCAATCCTGATCTCTGCCGGCTTTTCAGCGCAGAAATCCTCGGTCGATTACCGATCTCTGGAGGTGGGAGAGTACGACGAACAATGATACTTCTAATAGGTACCTCCATATGTTTTATGCTCTACTCTAATCGTAACCTATGTGACGCTGTAGGTAGTTATGCGTCTTGGTTCACAACACAACCCGTCGTCCCTCCGAGTTCTTCCGCGCCTTCTTTACTTCTCAACGCTCTGTCATATGTGGTTTCCGCCCTTACCGAGCCGAGCCTTTGTTTACCTGCTGCAAATACTTTACGTGACCTTTGCGATGCCAACCGGACTGCTCTAGCACCACATATCGTAGCATTTGGAGAGCTCCATGCACAGGTAGCGAATATACCGGTTAGCCTCTGCATATTTAATCCTGAGTAATGTTTTGCTAATGATCGATACTAAACAACATGTAGGACACGGAGAAAAGTAAGGTACTGCAGTCCATTGCCAGTGTAATCCAAGCACTACCTCCAGAGGAAGAGATTCCACCGATCGAAGTAAGCGTACAGAGTCTGAAATGGTTATGCAGCACTAACTATCTTGAATAGGCTATCCTCACGCCAGTCATCGCCAAGCTCTTCGAGGCTTTGCAATCGTCAAGTTTTGTAAGCTTTCCTGTCGTACGCATGGTCATCCATTTGATTAAAGGTGTTTTAGCAGCAAGAAGAAGCACGTGCTGTCGCTATTCAGCAGATACTCATCTTGGCAGGGGTATCAAAAGGTCTTACTCGGACGGTCGACTCTCTGCTTGTGCTCGATGAGAGTCCGGAAGAGCAAGCGGAGATAGAGCGGATGAAACGTGCCCGCGATGACCCTTGTGTTGTCAGACTGAGGGAAGTAATCCTGGATGCCATACAAAGGACGATAAACCTGTGGTCGACAGATGCAAGCATCAGTAACGTACGTCTGAACGAGGACATTTCTAAATATGATACTGAAGTAACTATCCAGGCCTTGAGTGAACTAATCAAAGCGATTACGGCGCTACCGAGCGATGTCACGCTACTCACGTTGCCTCCTGGGCCGCTTCTGGAGCTCATATGCATTGCTTCACAGAGACAACTCACGGCTGTCTGGTTCAATCTCGCACAGATGCTAGTCACCCAGTTGAACCCTCCATCTCTATTGCCCACGTTATTTAAGCCAATACCTACGGCGGAAGCGCACGCCATTGTGCTGAACGCCCTTGCTGCCCTCCTACAGGCAACCTTGAGTTTCTTCAGTCAGCCGGGAACCATGGAAGCAGTCAGTCTTTTCTTCTGTATCTATTTCATTTCCTTTAGCTGATATTTTTTAGAATCCTGATATCGTCCAAGCATTCTTCACCTTTGTTGATGTGGTGAGTCGACCTTGACAAATTTGTCATCCGACCACCACTCATGTTTGTTTTCAGATCGCCCAGCACTTCATACCGGTCTTTTATCAACTCCCACACGACCTCTTCAACGCACTCATGCAATGCGCAATATCGGCACTTTCATTACAAGAACGATATTCGCTAGTGTCGGCTTGTACATTCTTAGTGAGTCAGAGTCGATATATCTTCCCCGTCACGAAACTGAGTTCTGATCCACCGGTGATACAGGGCGCTATTGTCAACAAGACCTCGACAAACGACGACCTAAAGGAAGCCAAAACGATGCTCATACAGACTCATGGCAGGTCCATCCTACGAGCAGTCCTCTGTGGTTTCGCAGGCCAAGCTCCACGCTCTGCAAACCCCAATCTCATCGAAGTACTTTCTACGATGGTCACTAGGTTCCCTGCAGAGACGAGAACATGGATGGCCGAGATTCTCTACGCAGTACGTATATCCTCCTCACCACCCCATCGGAATATCAGTTAAAAAAAGATGTCTTTGTAGGATGATTTCCCACCTTCAAAGGCGACACCTGAAGCGAAAGAGAAATTTCTCAAGAGCATATTCAGTTCACGCTCTCTGCGACGGACCCGTGATGCAGCCCAGCAGTTCACGCTGGTGGCGAGAGGGTTGGAAGGGTCCAGCTTCGGATACGCCTCTGTAACGATGTAAGATTTGTCTCTTTTGAGATACTCTGTCAACCGATTACTTTAGAACTCTGTTAAATTACGCTGTATCCGCTAGCTTTCAATCCATCGTTATCCATGAAACACTGTCATGAGAGACCTTTCCAGATAAAATTCATTGCACGAGATGCACGAGTACTCTATATATATATATGGCGCAACACTGGCTTTCCGGTAACCGATACTTTTATTCAATCGTCGCGATAGACACATTACACGGAAACGAAGCGTAGCAATGCACAGAATGGAAGATAGCCGTACAGAGAGTAAGAGAGAAGATGGAAATGAAAACGAGACGAACAAAGAGATGGACGTGGCAGAGTTAGAGGCAGAGGTAGTAGCGGTAGAAAGCTGGTAGTAGAGACGTGAACCGTTCGGTGGTGTTAGACGTGAATTCGATACTAATAGTAGAATACTTCTAATCCTTCGATCGTTCATAACGTTAGGAAGGAGCGATAATGCGTTTATTGCTGCGCGGCTTGTTCAGCCCTAGCCTTGGCTTTCGCAGCCATCTATGAGGATGCGTAAGTAAAAGTGAAGATAAGAGAATAAGCTGCAATATGACTTACCAAGTTCAGTGCAGAGCCGGCCTTGAACCATGCAATCTGACCCTCGTTGAAGGAGTGAGCAAGAGGGATCTCCTGTAGACGAAACAGATCATCAATATCCGTTCACTAATTCAGAGATGATGCACAACCACTCACATCCTTAGTGCCATCCTCGTGCTTAGCAACAAGAGTCATGTTCTTGCCAGGAGCGAAGGACTCCAGACCGAGGATGTCAACACGGTCGCTGGGGCGGACCTTCTCGTAGTCATCAGGGTTGATGAAAGTCAAAGCGAGCATGCCCTGCTTCTTCAAGTTGGTTTCGTGGATACGAGCGAAGGAACGAGTGATGATAGCAAGACCACCGAGGAAACGAGGCTCAAGAGCAGCATGCTCACGGGAGGAACCTTCACCGTAGTTGTGATCACCAATAACGACCCACTTGATGCCATGGTCACGGTAGTGAGCAGCAACCTGAGGAACACCACCGTATTCGCCAGTGATCTGGTTCTTAATCTTGTTGGCCTCGCCGTTCTCAGCGTTAATAGCACCAATCAAGCAGTTCTCTAAAAGTGATCATGAATATCCAGAATGAATAAGAATAGGTGGAAATCAACGTACGAGAGATGTTCTCGAGATGTCCACGGTACTTGAGCCAGGGTCCACCAGCAGAAATGTGATCGGTAGCTAAATCACGACCACATCAGCATCCCCATTCGATCACACGCGAGCGAGTAAATACTTACTGCACTTGCCCTGAGCCTTGATGAGGATGGGGAGGTCCGTAGGAGTCTTGCCATCCCAAGGTGCGAAAGGCTTCAAAAACTGGAGACGGTCAGATTTGGGGTCGACGGCAACTAGGACAGAGGCGCGGTCTGCGGGAGGAGGCTGGAAGGTGTCCTGGCCGGGGTCGTAGCCGCGAGGGGGGAGCTCATTGCCAGAGGGGTCGTCAAACTTGAACGGCTTGCCATCAGCACCGGTGAGAGAGTCAGTAAGGGGGTTGAAGCGGAGGTCGCCAGCAAAGGCCATAGCGGTGACGACATCGGGGGAAGCGACGAAAGCGTGGGTGGCGGGGTTAGCGTCGTTACGGCCGGTGAAGTTACGGTTGTAGGAGGTGATGACTGTAAGAACACAACATGTAAGTAATTAATTACGTCAGAAGACTATACATTAGAGTATACGCACTAGAGTTAGCCTCGCCCTTCTTGACGTCACGTCTGTCCCATTGACCGATGCAAGGACCGCAAGCGTTGGCCAAAACGACACCACCGACATTCTCGAGAGCAGCCATCTGACCATCTCGCTCAATAGTGGCGCGAACTTGCTCAGATCCGGGAGTGACAGTGAACTTAGACTTGGTGTCCAAACCGTGGTCCTTAGCCTGCTTAGCGATGGAAGCGGCACGAGACATGTCCTCGTATGACGAGTTGGTGCAAGAACCGATGAGAGCAACCTTCAATTCAGCGGGCCAGCCGTTCTTCTCGACAGCGTTCTTGAACTTGGAGAGGGGAGTAGCGAGATCGGGAGTGAAAGGACCGTTAATGTGGGGCTCGAGCTCAGAAAGGTTCTGAAAGAACTCATTAGAAAAGAAAATAATAAAAGCAAGGAAGTGTGCGCACAATTTCAATCTCGTGATCGTACTCGGCACCTTCGTCAGCCTTCAAGTTGTGGGAGAACCGTTGTGCGTATTGAGCAATCTCGCTGCGACGGGTAGCATTAAGGTAGTCGGCCATACGGTTGTTGAAGGGGAAAAGCGAAGTCGTTGCACCAATTTCAGCACCCATGTTGCAAATAGTAGCCATACCCGTGCAAGAGAGGGACTGGAGACCAGGACCCTTGTACTCGACGATAGCACCGGTACCACCCTTGACAGTAAGAATACCCGCAACCTTGAGGATAACATCTACACGAAGGTGTCAGTCTCGCAATGACAATGTAGTAAAGACTTATATTTACCCTTAGGAGAAGTCCACCCAGAGATCTTGCCAGTAAGATTAACACCAATGACTTTGGGACACTTGAGTTCCCAAGCAAGATCAGCCATGACATCGACGGCATCGGCACCACCAACACCACAAGCAACCATACCGAGACCACCAGCGTTAGGAGTATGTGAGTCCGTTCCGATCATGAGACCACCGGGGAAAGCATAGTTCTCGAGGATAATCTGATGAATGATACCAGAGCCGGGTTTCCAAAAGCCAAGACCGTACTACGAGAAACAAGGCGGATTGAGTGGGGGAATTGATTCGATGAGGTGGCGGGACGTACCTTGGCAGTAGCCGTCGCCAAGAAATCATAAACCTCTCTATTGATGTTAATCGCCCGTTGCAAATCCTTAGCACCACCGACTTGTGCTTCGATGAGATGGTCGCAGTGGACCGTAGTGGGGACCGCAGCGGTGTCCATACCGGCAGACATGAATTGAAGAATAGCCATCTGGAGAAGACCAGATCAGCATCATGGAATTAATTCAGTGACTGGAAGCTATTCTTCAGGCGTCGCTAGAGAAAGTCGCGTCCAAGCCAGTCCTAGCGGGATGTGCAATGGAAGGCTTTAACGCCCATCTACGTCACAACGTGTCTGGAGGAGTTAGGAGGTGCAAACAGCATCCCCACTGGCTTGAATTCTTTGATAACACCCAGACTCCACTAGCGACGCCTAGAAAGGGTCCAACAAGGCTAACTGCGGGCTTACCTGAGCAGTAGCATCTTGACAAGCAACTCGCTGTGAGATGAATGATAAGGTTCAATTCGAATAAGCGAAAAGCAAAGCACGTACGTCAGGACGCAGTTTGAGGTAACTGGTACCACGCTCGATATCCTGGTTGACAGGATCGTCGAGATGACCGTACACAATCTTTTCTGAGAGTGTCAAGGGACGCTTGAGCCTGTCACCCGAAATGAGTTCCCTTCCATCTAGAATTCTGGCCGCAAACTACGCACCTTTCACGGACGATAGCAAGGTTATCCTCAATACGCTGATAGTTGATATAAGCATTAGGCTCAAGCAAAGACATGGGGACTTTGGTCGCGCCGATCTTTGCGTCCGAAACGGTGGCCATACCGGCGGCCAGCCGCTGTACGGACCGCCATGCAGCAGCAGTTCGTTGGGTGAGGTTCAGCATCGTCGCCGACGTCGACGAGCTTGTATAAGACGAAAGGCAAGTCGAGATTGGAAGGAAAGGAAGAGAAAGACGAAAAGACGACGAGTGGGCGTGGGCGGCAAACCCCGGCCCTGCCCAGTGATGTATTTAACCCTCCCCGTGATTCCCTCGGCCCCCTCCGCCGAAGCCAATCATTGCTCGTCTTTTATGCCCGCTCTCCGGAACTCCCGCTCACTAATTCCCGGACTGCCCCCGCTCTCTCGCCGCTCCCCCGACCGACAATTTCCGACTCGTGCTCATCGTGTGCGACGATGACGGCGATAGTCGTCCAAAAAATACAAAAATCTGTTGACCAGCGACCGTTCTTCGTCCCCCACCTGGCGTTGTTTCTTCTTATCGCCCGCACTCACGTCAGAGCACGCATCATCTGGATGGTTCTACCGCTGGTCTGCAGACCAACTCATACTGCGCCGTTCGTGTTCCGTCGGACGCCATATCCCGACTTTCGCGCACGAACCTGTCCTCGGCCGCATCCAACCACATTCATTCTAATTACTCACTCCTGTGTATCTCCATGCAGTACGTATATATTTAAACCTGTCAGGCAAGCAAGACGTGTACATCTGGAATCCGTCAAACAATGACAACTATCATACTGACGTACATAGCCAAACTGTCTTATGAACAGGAATCTTGACGGTACTGGGCTAGGGTATGCTATTTCAACCGTATTCGACCTACACATCCACTATACGCAGAAACAAGTAAGTACTTTGGTATGTCCAAAAGACAGATCATATGCGCAGGCGAAAACAGGGTTCTTGGTATGCGATATATGTAACAGAGAGAAAAAGGAGAAAATGGCTGGCGTTCCCTAACAGAAGCTCAAAGCTCGATATCATATCAAAAAGAGGATTACTGTAATTGCTCGTCGTGAAATAACGTCCATCAAGGTCTTCACCTCCTAAGATATCCACATCCGTCTCCAGACAACACACCCAATAGATAGCACCACGAAACCAAGAGAACGAAAAGCGATATGGAAAGGCAGAGGCAGTCAAACAATGGCTACAGCAGCGTGAACGCCCCGCCAGCCATACACAACATCATGGCCATAAACAGGCCAATCAACTGCCCCTTGCTCCCCTCGATCGCCTTCCACCCCGGCATCGCAACCCCATTCGCGCTCGGAGGGAACGTCGTCGCAAAGTCGTTCAACGGATTCGGTCCTCCCGAAATCGTCACCGTAGGCGCACTGCTATCTGGCTCCGTGGCTGTCGCGTTCGAACTGCTGTCGCCAATCGAAAACCGTGAGGATGTGGTGAACATCACGCCAGACGTCGAGTTCAGGAAGAGTAGGTAGTAGTCGTCTGCCGAGGGCACGTCTTGCAAGAACAGGTTGAATGACCCCGATCCAGCCGGCACTGGAAATGAAAAGAACGTCAGTTATCAAGCTCATATTAATGAACAACGAGAAGGCTCTGCGAAATAAACTACGGGCAGCCCGCTTCTCCCCAGCCTCGTGCATCGAAACGGTGACACACGGCTTCCTCGAAACATGGCAGGCTAGAAATATCCTACATGTGACTATCGGGTGCTCAGAACAAGAATAAGCCACCCAGTTGCAGGAAGGTACCATACAACGCTCGTCGGCGTTCGGAAATCCACCAGCAACTCTGACGTTGTTTCCAAGTCATAGGAGAGGCTTCCGAAAACCGAACAAGGCCGGTGAACTCTCACAGCACACCTAAACCCACTAGATGTGAAGCAACACCTCGAACGGCATCACCATGGGCTAAAGAAAGCGCTGACATGGGTGCGATCGCGTCACACTGCCACAACACCGTTGAATTGGGCGTCGACAGGAACAGCATCTACAACGCGAAAATGGAGGGGACGGTGCGCCTGAGAACCATCGAACGAAATGCCTCAGAGAAACAGGTCCCTCCAGCAACAACGAGACACTAGTAAGAGCGTCAGTCCTAGCAGGACTGACAAATTAGACACCGCAAGCATCTGAGTTGAAGGGCTTGAGATACCGGTAACCTGCCAACTCCACAGGACATCTAAACATTGAGGCATTTTCTCGGCGCTCGAAGCTTTTGCGCAATGGGCACTACGAAACGAGGGTGGAAGATCCAGACAAACGCTAGAGCACTCACCATCTCTTGCAACCAGGATGAGACCATCGACGCTCAGTCTCGACATCTCCACATCGAATGCGTCAATATCATCCAAAAGACCTTTTATCCATGTTATCCGGTTCGCAGCGCCGTTCTGCAGCTGAGTTCCTTGCGTCGGACTTGTGACGATGAAATATGCTATCGAACGCCGTCAGAGGTCGCCGACTTTTGTAAACTGCACACTGCTCACAATGTGCATCCGCTAACGAGAGAAGCAACGAGGCAAAGAGCAGAGTGAGGACACCTCTAGGTATGACAGAAAAGAGGTGCATCGTCGTTGTCGTCAAGAGTGATTATAAGCGGGTATACGAGAGATGGTATTGGAAGCACGAGCAAGGCACAGTGGTATATGCACTAGGGGAATATAGCCTCGCCTCAAATGCGGGGAAATCGGCCTGGAAGGAGCAGCAGGCGAGTGTGGTGGTGGTGGTGGTGGTTCTAGATCAAAACGAGCGTTATGGATAAGGTTCTGAGTGAGTGGTAGCGCTGCTGCAGACACAGGACGGGGAATAAGGGAGCGCGGCAGTACTAGACTGAACGTCCGGAGGGCGAGCTGAGGGCGATGTACAACACGAGACGAAGATTGCAAGACGAGACGATGCAAGAAACGATGGCAGAGCAGCTGGGCGGTCCTCTTTCCCCTGCGCGCCTCTTCCCCGCGTGCGTTTCTATTGGCTGCCCCGCGTGTAGCTACCATTTACGGCCGGTTTCACCAGCAGATGTCACTTTGCGCGCCGGCGGTCAACACCTTGTCGTCGTCGTCGTCGTCGTCGAGAGGTTTCCATCAGCCTTCGTCACATCTCGCCGTTGTCCCCGACCACGACCGTGTACAGAGTATATACGCATACAATAATTACTTTCAGGTTTGTGTCCGGAATACTCTACAGCACGTCGGTACACTGCTCAGCGTCACAATCCGCGCCCAATTTACTTCACAAACCCGACACGGATCATTCAAACGGACACACACAGTCATCATTGCAGTTGTGCAAGACTCTCACAAGCTTTCAGACCTCTTGTCAGTTGCAGTTGTCATAGCATTAAAGCTTAACTTGCACCTGCACCGAAAATATACCGGTCAATCATCTTCTCAGCGTAACTGATATTCAAAAGCTCAATTCTGGCGCACCGAATTCATTATCGCTGGTGATCGGCGTGCGAAGCTCCATGTGTATTAGAAATTTAGACAACGCCGTCGAAACAAATGCGCGGACGGAGGCCGTTCTATACATTTGCAGGTCGTGTCCCGTAAACCCCCTTGGTGGTTCCATTCATAGTGATAATATATAAGTAGCGGAATATGAATCAGTCAGACAGGCAGCGAAGCATCCAAACATTCAAGACTCAACAGGGCCTAAGGAGACATACCTAAAATTCATGTTCCTCACAAACAGAGTACGCACCAGTGCCGACAATCGACAGAATATCAAAGATCTGCAAACCCAAGTACGACGATGAACTTATAACGACAGTGGCATACTTAGCGTGACTCAAGATACGATCACGCTCTGCCCAGAACCAAAGAATAACAGACCGTCAGATAAAAATGATCGCTAGACCCTTGACGTACATATTCTTACCAGCTACTGCCAAATGAGTCGGGGCTGTATAGAGCTAGAATTTAGATACTCGCTGCTCCTTCAGCCACCTTTGATTCCGGTGTAATAGTCAGTAAAGAAGCGAGTATGGTTTGCAGTGCTGAATGTTTGGGTATCACAATGATTGAATACCGACGGCGTGTGACTACATCCACGATGGACCCTAGGTATCCAAATAACTGCAACTCGAGGCGTAACGTTACCTCATTCCTCTGCGAAATAAGCCGATTCCGACTGCATCTGCAGAAAAGAAAAGAGCAATTTAATCACACATGCTCAATGAAACAGGTTAGAAACGTACCCAGGGCTCGTCTTTGCCAAGCACATACTTCCTCGGAGGCCGTTCCCAACACGCAACCCTCTCGAGCTCCTCTGCGCTTCGCAGCGGGAAAACAATACCCAGTTCAAAGTTCGTATTCTGAACTTCGCGTCAATAACAGTTCCACAGATGTCAAAAAATGCAGCCTACGTTCAGAATGGGGTTGAACCCCGAACCAGACAGTGTCCCCCAGGCCGAAGGTGTAAAGTTATGTGAACCGACATACGCCCATCCGATCACTTTATCTTCTTCCCGCCCTTGAGCATCCACTTCTACAACTTCGTCGTCGCTCTCCGGTTCGGTTTCCGAATCTGATTGTGGCGCCTTGCCTTTGCTCGAAGGACCTGTATCACGGAACGTCGCGATGATCATCTATCATGTGGGACGATTATTAGTCCGTTGTTTTGCAGGAGAATTTCATTTTTAGAATCACCTTAGAATGCATCAAAACGCCTCCACTCTTACTCCTCGAATCATGGAACAGAGTGCGCGGAAATTTGGCTCCTTCCCATTGGCTTCGTCTACAGAACATCGTCCCTCCTCCCTACAACAAATGAACAGTCACAATCGGTCAATTATTCCATGAATCATGCCTTGCACTTACCTGCTCGCCAAGCGCACTTTCCTTCACAGTCTTATCCGACGGGAACAAAATCTTAATCGGAGGATATGGCAGTTTCGTTCGTCGCGACTTTGGCTGATCAAGCCACTCCTCCGCCGAGTCTCCCCTAGCGGAACAATAGAATTCGTTCACCCATTGCGTCGAATATGTCCCAATCGAGGAACCCTGAATGACGAAATGCAGTCAGTCATGACTTACAGTGTGGTGAAGGTGTAACGGACTTGACATTCCAGCACCAGCTCCTTTCCCTTCGGCGTTCGCGCGCCACTGTCTCGTACGGCTTTCATAAGAGCTACGTGACCTGACTGGAGGACCTGAATACCGTATGCATGAGCGCAAAGCGGACTGAGCGGGAATTGAGATAGACGTATACCTTTGGCCAACCCTCGTGCTTTCCGGCCAGCGAAGGGACAAGGTGAATTTTCACTTTTGAGAAGTCCCATTTACGGCGTAGGTCCTCTAGGCGGCTTATCGGTAAATCAGTATGCTGCTCGAACGATTCGTGTTATTCACACACTCTAATAAGTAGAGAAGTTTACTACTTACGCCATTCTTCACCATCGTGATCAACGCAGGGGCGACATTTAACGAGTGTAGTATCCTCGTCCACGCGGCTGGGAAGTCATTCGCTTTTGACTCGTGAGGAATTGGTCTTGGTCGCAGAGGGACATCTTGAACCCATACGCTCTAGACACACCAGTTTAGGATCCGAGACGCACAATGTTGTTGTCTTACATTCTCAATATCTCGCCAGTCAATCGGCAGCAGGTTCGCTGTCGACACGACAACTCGCAATCGGCCAGTCTTGTAGAATATCTAAGTAATCCCTATTCAGTAAGTACATCACATGCGCAAGTTCGCCGCATACCAGCATAAACTAGGTGCCGAAACAAATCAGTAGGATGAGGACGAACATAGTATCTGCGCTTGCCTTCATATGCATACACCCACGTCCACCGCGAAGAAATGGTGTCGTCTTGATCCAATTCGGAAGGACTTCTTTCATGGTCTCATTACCCTGGGAGTCTTGGGCAACTATGATCACGGGCGTGCTGGGATTGAAAAAGGAGTACATCCAAGGAAAGTCGACACAATATGCTGAGATGATAGCGAACGAAATCTCGTCTCGCTAGCAGCTACGTCACCTCGAGGTCAAATATATGTATCGATAACTTGACGTACCGGCGCAAGGATATCTGTCAATCTGAAGAGCGGACGGGTATCCTTACTCGGCTCAACATACTTGTTCGCCGTCTGACGTAGCTCTCCGTTCCAAAAGTAAGCGTCCGCAGGTTCCTTTGATTGCGTTCCACTAGTCGTTGCGCGTGGAGCTTTCCCAGTAGTGGGTCGAGTGCTGGAAGAAGGAACGTTGGAATGATATGCAGTAGACGAATTATGCGAAAGTCGTTGCCTCTTTGCACTCCGTCCATTCATGTTCACATTTTCGTCTGTCTCCTCATCTTCATTGTCCAGTTGCGGCTTTGATTGAGCTTCGACAAGGTCAGGACGGAGTCTCTTCTGTCGTTCTAGTCGTTCCCGTTCGAGTTGTGCCCGATCAAATGGGAAAGCATTGCTGGACCGTACTAACATTGATGGTGCTGAGATTGCGGGAGGTGAGATCGTTGGAGATATCGAATCTTGGGGACTGTACGTTCTTGAAGAGCTTGCACTTTGAGCTTTGGAGGCTTCGATTGCTCGCTGTACGTCTGACTGTAACTGAACATCTTCGTTGTTATCCTCTTCGTCACTTGAGGGAATCTCAATAATCTCCTTAGGTTCCGGCTTTCTATCTGATGTCTTAGATGGTTTGTAGGCCTCCCGTACGCTCAGGGCGAGCGCTCTTGAGAAGAGCATAAATGAGGTGCACGTTTCCTGCCAAGAAAGAGATGAACCTTGCAATTTCTTCGTCATCGAAGCCGTCCATCTTCCAGATGCGATGTCTTGCTGATATCCAAGGAGAATGTGAGAGGGTCAACGAAGATGAAGAACTGGTCTTCTCTGAAGTGCAGATCATGGTGTGGGAGGACAACGTGAACACACCAATTTACCATAACACGACGACCTCACATGCGTTGGACTGCATTACCGATGTGGTGGAAGAACAGGCTACGTCGATCTGGGGTTGCATTCAATTGTCGGTGCTCGGGAGTGAGGAACGCGTCGCGATCGAGGAGGATCGAAATCTGGATCACACTGCGTTGATGCCCACTGTCCTCGATCGGTTCCAATTCTCCTTCTCACTCTGTTCTATGTCTCCTCTCGGATGCACTCTCCTCCTGTCAAATCTGAGATCTACTCTTGCCTTGGACCCCTGAGCATCTCAAATTTTGTATCCTAGGCTTGCGATGTTCTCAGGTACGACTCACAAGCCGCTTAGCTCAACTGTGAATAGTTGGCCCATACTTGAACTTGAAGCTTAGGGCTTCGACTTTGACTGACCACTCACCCTTTCGACGTCACAACTCAACGTCATGTTATTTACTTCTGTTCACAGCCTGGCAACCACCAAGAATTTTAGCCCGTCTATGGGCAGCCTTCCCAATTAGTGACTTGACTGCCATCTTCGACGAACATTCAACACTCACCGCCATACGCAGCCATAGTCGTCACCGACTATACCTCTACCCAACGTCATGCTCATATAACGTCCGGCTTTCTCTCACACTCATGCGATTATCACAGGTGTTGTGCTGTAACGCTCGCTGACCTCTGATGGGACCATTGCGAAACTAAAGACCTTTTTCAGTAATGACCCCAGGCGACCTGGAATTTATCCTGGTATGTACAGGATTCAAGCACTGTAGAGGACTCACCTTGTATGACTCGCTCGCCTTGCTCACATCAACTACGCGATTCGCTGTGGCAACTTCACCATCGAGTCGGCGTTGGTCTTATGACCGCAAAAGGATTGTGTAAGTGCATCTCACTGCATTTGGCATTAACAAATATGAAAATGCTTACCGTCGAGCTAACCAGCCTCGTTCTACAGACAGCGCTACTGGGACAACGGGTGAGCACTCAGATCAATTCCAAGCGAGAATGATGGTGCTCACTATCGAAATACAGTGCTCTACAGGACGCCATCTATGCTGGTGCTAAACGATGCTGCATTAGATGACAATATAATAGACAGGCCGTCGGAGAACTTACCAGCGGGGCGTTGAGAACGTTGAAGAGACTCGAAACATTGGTGATGACAGGGTCATCTTCGAACACTAGCAGTGACTCCGGAAGGAAACCAACGAGGCTGAAGAATGTGAGTGAGGAAGACGGGAGAAAGAGTCCATGCACATACAACCCAGACCTTTGCCCTCTTATACGCCAGGCTCGCCCTCAAAGAGAAAAAGATTTCTCCCGTTCAGTCGCACCCCCGGTCACAAGTGTCCGAAGTACGTATGGGCGATATCTCATCCATCAGAACGCCCCTAGAGATCAGGTACTTGGTGGCAATCGACAGACGATCTCGTTTCTCGACTCGTCCGTCATTTGCTATCCAACTACCATCGGTTCAAATTGGGACCATTCCTAGCGACATGCCTTGGATACGCCAATCCGTAAACCTCCACATCTGCCTTGGAAAAGGAAAAACACTACGTGCCTGGTTTGAAGTAGGCGTTTTGCAGGAAACCAGGGGACATTTCGATTTACGATCTAAATCCTGGTCTCACATAATGTATGTCACGTTTATAGAATGTACCGTTCGCGAATCGAAACCCTATGCACTGGTTACGCTGTGAAGGGAGACTACGTCCCCTAAAAATATGGACGTACCTGACAATAATCTCACCTCTCATCTGTTGTTCACAGATGTTCTTGCTTTGGAAATATGCCCTCAGACTCGGCGAGCCAAGTTGCTTTTAGAATGAGTGACATATACTTCGTAATGGTACTAGTCCTTCGGTCCGTCCGATGACCGCCACCTGATTTGAATTCATTCCCTCGCAGGCCATTGGTTGTAACGCGAGAAGTGAGAAATAATATTTGCCGGTCTCAGGGAGTTAAGCGAGACGGACAAGAAATGAGGGGCGTTCGAGAATGCATGTTCCGCTTCGTAACCTGTACCTTAGCTATGGAATATGAGTCGGCGCATGCATGCCCCAAAATATAGACCATCTGAGATTGGAGACAAGCTCGCCTCTCGTCCTTTGTCTTTAGACTGCCGCTGTGGATTCTCGAGGTTGGACTCAGATAGTCTTGAAGACGTCCTTTGAGTCTCATTGAACTAGATGGAGGAGCATCCATTGGACCATAATCCAAGCCCTCCGGATACAGTGTTTACCAGAGCCTGATATGAACAACGACACTTGCACCTCACTTTATGATAACAACAATGGTTTTTAGTGATGTACATTTTTCATCTCGTTTCATATTTGCGTGAGTCCGTGAATTACACATCGCTGGCATGCAGAAATGACGCGAGCGTCCTGGAAATGCGAAACTTGAATTTCTTCTGTTGAAGTGTGAAATTTGAAGCGAGTACGTTTACCATTGGTCAAGATTTGCGCGTTCCCCCCGATAACGTTAGACATTTGACGACGTGAAACTTCTGCAGCAAAACTTGGCGAGAAGATGACACGTTATGATATTTTTGAACTTAAGACTGGCAAATTCGTAAATGCACCTATTCAAAGACAGAAAACAAGGGTAATACATAGCGACTTCTTGAGGAACAAGGATGGTCTCTGCATCTTCATCGAGACGACATCTTACATCTCGTTACCTAGATGAGAATGTGAGTAGAGCTTATTCCAGAAATACGTCAACATGATCATTATGCGAGTAAAGAGAACGGAATCACCTATGCACTTAGAAACAAGAATGAGTTGATAGGCGCAGAATTCGCACATAAATGACATCTTCGTCAACCGAATGAGTGCCTGTTTCAAGTCCTTATATTTCATTGATCAGTACGTACCCTTCGACAGGCTGACCCAAACCAATTCTCCGATTACAACAAGATATAGGTATCGCATAGTTACCGCCCTGTTTATCGCAGAATTCAGCCACTAAGACCTAAGAATAAATGACACCTGTCCAGACTACATTCTGCCTGCTGAGCCGTTACACCAGGTTATACAAATTGAAGCTGACTTTTGCATTATATCTGCTTAAATGTTCGTGAAATCAAGTCGGGCAGGACGGTGAGCATAGAATCACTGAGAAATGTCCTGGGAATAAGAACGACTTTTTGCGTCAATGCCGAGTCAACAGCTCGAAGCGAGAACACTTTACCACCTGAATGACGTAGATGACAGGATAAGTGTTTTTTAAATGAAACATGTTACGACGCATGAGAAGGTACTTGTCGAGGACGTACCTATCAGAAAGAGTAACATTGCCTGGAGTACCGGAAAAGATTGATATTGTCATCGGATGAGCTGAAACTTGCATGTACGTCGGCGTTGATTTAGCTCCAAAGAATCCGAAGCCCAAATGTTCCAATTTCGCAGCTTGAGGATGGCAACAGTGAAGCAGATTCGCAACCCTGGATACTAACCCGGGCTGCGCGGCGGAGTAAGCATGTGGACCTGTCAAACCTTGAATTTACACTTCTCGCGGTAGAGAAGACAGTCTGTGAGCCATGTTCCGACTGAAGTCAGGCATCGAAAACTTGAAACACCAGTACAAACTCACCCGAAAGGACATATTTATCAGGACAGCAAGAAACGTTCCGCACGCAAGGTGAAGTTGATTTGAGAGTGACCTTGAGGTTTAAACGTTGACACGAACATCGAAGGAGGATGGATATGAGCATATTATAAGTCAGTGGTTTCGAATAGAAAAATCAAGCTATGACCTGACCAAAGAAACGTATCGGTCATACATTACTTACTTTCGTGTCATCGGAACTTGAAAGCCGTGGCTTCCAGAGTATTCCGAATGACTGTTGGAGTATTCGCACGTTGAAAAGTCTAATATAAATGAAACGCAGGACCATGATCAGTCTTCGACGAATGAGTCGAGAGAGAATGCAGATTGTGAAAACATTACCGTCACCAGCTTCAGTATAACTAGTCATCTTCGGACCATCTGCGAGTGTGGTATTAAATTGTATACCATGAAGAGAACACTAATTCAAGCCGCTATCCTGGTATATGGATGATAGCGACAGCATAAAGGAGATTAGATCTAAGACTGTTGATGTGAGTGCATGAGCTTGAACGACAGAGTTGAATAGACTCATAACGTCAGAACGTTCAAGCTTCAAGTTGAACTGATCAATGAATGATCGAGATCAGATAGGCAGCTTTAACGCACAACCTGTAGCTTGGCTTGCCTCCAATGCAGATTTCTTCTCTATCCATCGATGACTCTCAATTGTGCCCTTGCAGACTTGGCAGAGACACCAGCAATATATTGAGTTAGCCGATGGACCTGTCGGGAATGTAAACACAGCCTGCATGGTAAGTTTCCTATCCCAAGTCTCCGATTCGCTGAGTTCCCTCACTTAGCTTGCACAGTAGTCAAAAGACTTCTGAGACCCTTCCGTGTACGGCTGAGAAGCAACCGTTGGGAGAGAGACTTTATTTTGAGAGCAGTGGTATGAAGTGGCGGTAGGTACGTCATGCATTTCCGGCATCACGTTTGAACTAGTATGAGACAGGTGTATTTTACAAGGGTCATTTCTGCCGATGTAAGTGGCAGAGTTATCACGCGGATTTGTAGCTGGTACGTTCTGTACTGATATGCACCCCGTGCCTAATGTGTCATTGTGTAGCAACGATGCCTGTGGTTTTCCAGGCTATACTTCAATGTCAATAACATTTTAAATATCTCCGAAGCAGAAGGTTCCCGGCCTGTCCAGAGTCAAACACCAATGGTGCATCAGCAAGACACATCTGTGAAACTGGGAGGCACTCGCTCATATGTTCATCGCGCTTTCAGTTCCACCTCTAGATCTTCTCGTCGTCGTGTTATCATCAAACCCACATTCCTATTTATGGCCGCAGACATCTTCCATTCTCATGACATCTCACATGTACGTCTGTCAATCAGCCTCGTCGCCATGGTTAATTTGCATTGCTGGAAGATCAGTGCGAACCATGTTTTGAGGTCTACGTGTGTCAAGGATTATGCGTATGTGAAGCATAGGTGACTTCCCGGTAAGCCGTGACATATGAAATTCATAATGTGGGTATCTTGACGTCTCAGCATCTTCGACTGAGCTTCTTGTAGGGTGTATTGTAGCGCGCAATGCAATGAGCATACCGTTCTCAGTTGAAAGGGTAAAAGTTGAGATATCATTATTACTGTATCTCCCAGCTGAGCGTTCTCCTGTGATGAGGCTCGTCATCCCATTTTTCAGCAAAAAATGACTTCTGGTTTTGGCCAAATATGAGCTGATGTCAACTTGTTTAGAAGCTCTTATAGGGCGACACTGCAATGGGTGTCCCGACGATAATCATTCCACCCCCTGGTGAGTCCTTTGTGATGCAACTGTTTCCGCGTTTCAGTATCTTGAGCTGATTTTTGGTTGAGATCTGCATGCAGCACGTAATGCGATTCTGTCGCAACTGAATAAAGTGGGTAAGTCTGATTCGAATAAGGTACACAATGAACTAAAATATTTCAGAAGTGCCGAGCTCCCATTTGAGAGGGGGATCGTTGTCGTAATGCTGATCAATGCAATCTAGGGTGTGTCACGTCGCATTGTGTGAGTTGCGCCGGAGACTTTCAAGCATTGAGAATTTGAAGCTTGAGCTGTTGACGCTCCCAAGTAGGTACATCGCTCTGAACTAAACTGCACTGCTCACTAGTAGGCCGACCTAACACCTGTTCGCATGGCACAGTTAGGGATTCACTAATGATATCGAGCGTGAAGCTATTGTGGCTTCAGCTTCAACAGTTTTGACCTCAACGTAACAGAGACTGGCATATGCATCGTGAAACATATCGCTTCGAGTGATGGGCGGTATTGCTATCTCACGATGGCTTCCGATGATAGGCTTGCCCATCCACAAAGTCAACAAAGTCAGTCGCCATGCAGACATCACAACCTGAGTGTCATAATCGTGTTACAGCTGCAATTGCATCTGTTGTCAGGCACTGACTCGGATGCCTTCTTCGAAACCCTTGCAACGGCTGATATGCTAATTTCGGCTAATTTTACTATCATATTTGAGTCACTAACCTGAACTTCCATGGTCAACATTTTCTTAATTTGAGAGCTTTGCAAAGGCTATCATGAGTTTACGAAACGCTTAGTGAGATTCCGACATGAGGTGATCAAATATAAAAAGATGGTCTCTGAGTTGCGAGAATCTTGCATTCTCACTTGCAGTATGTCGGAGACTCAAAGATGCTCACTTGCAACCCTTAGTCTGCTAGCTCGTGTGAACTGTGATAGTATGTATGTCTGAACTTACCTCTAGTATTTCGTATCTGACTCTGTGCAGTTGGAACAACTCTGGACCTCACCAAAAGTCCACCTGGTGTTGATCGGAGAAACCGGATGGGCCAGCGGAATTATGTTCGGGATAACCTGACTCCCATTTTCCGTACGTGACCCTGGTTACCTTCTGACATCTCCGCAATTTCACAGTCAGTTCCAGAACAGAAAGCGGGAATTGCTGGACCTCATTGTCACACCCGGATTCCATGGAAGAGTCCAGAGAAGCTGCTTACCAAATATCATGTTATCCCAATTGGGTCACCTCTTGCCCGGCCATTCACTGATCTGAAAATGCTTACCATGGAGGAACTGTGGATGGTGGTCTGTGCCGTCCACCAGGGAATCTTTACCTTTTGTAGACTTAGTGATGAAGAGCTTGAATTTCTTGAGAGTAAGCATAAGGAAGGTATTGCAAAGGGGACTTACAAGCCTGACCGGAAGAGGAAGCCAAGAGGAGATATTGGGAATTACCGTGGTCGTCGGCCAACAGCTGAGTTTGCTCGGAAGAAGAGGGGTGGGAAGATCTGCAGCCCAAAGATGATCACAGCGGAGGAGTAGATGAGATCGACAAGAAATCTAGATCTATTCATATTAGCTTAGTTCGCCAAACATAATTTTGAAATTTTGATGAGAAAATCTGTCAGTTGTTTGATGTGGCGGGATTGCTTACTGAGAAAGATTCAGTCATGCTGGCCATCCAGAGCAGCTTCCGGAAAATCTGGGGATTTTATGGAGACAGCTCTGGATGGACAAGCAGTAACGCTGCACAGAAAATACAGCATAATAAAAATTAAATCTGCATCTAGAGACAGTCACACCTCAGATATCTAGAATGGCTATGATAGATTTTCGGCATCAATGGGCGGTCGATTGAGCCCATTGTTTCATTGCCGGAAATGGGTTGTTAGGGACGCACGAAATCTCTGATCGGCGAATCAGAGAATCCTTGGGCACAGCCATAGTCCTGGCATGATTTATATCTTGCTGTTGGAGTGCGTCGATTTCTCCCTCTCGTTACGCAGAAATGCTGCCTTTCTTTCGCAATAACTTCTTGGCCGCGATCTCGTCAGGATAAAGCTTAATCGCAGTCAAGCAGTCAGTTTCTTTATATTTTATTTCATCCGGGAGGCAAGCTCACCGATGGCATTAGCGAGGCACCATTCGCGCCCATCCGAGTGACGAGCCTCGACGTGAACATTCGAATTTGAATGTTTGCAAATCTGAGCTCTGTGGATGTCCGATGAGCCCAAGTCCGGTCAAAGCCCAAGCCGGTCACCGAGGTCCTGGATTGGGAGGTGCTTCGCCGCATTTGGCAAGCGCTGTTCTTGACAGATCTTCTCGACGTTCTGAGCTGCGTTTCGCCCTTTCTTCTCAACCACCACCATCCCTGCTCCTCTCTACGATTGCTGTCGTCCCTGTCCCCCGTTGACTCTCCCGTGTCCCGTTCACATCGTGAACGTTGTTGGAAAGAGCAAATCCATGCGGTTCCAACGGTTCCAAGATCATGGGAAATGAGTGAGCGCAGCGGACGCTACGCCTCAATGTGTGAGGTTCGTGATAAATTTACTCAACCTCTACTTTCTTGTGCTGACCTTGCGCCTCCTTTTTTGTGATTTCTAGTGCTGACCGTTTGTCCCGCCGTTATGGTGTGCACCGTTCGAAAGAGGTGGTTGATGCGATCAAGTAGACACCGATATTGTGGAGGGAAATGGGAAGCTATGGTGCGTTATTAAGAGGTTTGTGTCGGTATCTGTGAAATTCGGCATTCCTTCAATAATATTAACCTTTCATTTGTTTGAATTTCAGTTTCAACCAGTTTCCTTGACTCAATCACTCAAACGACGGACTTGAACACACACCGTTGGTGAGTATAATGGTTTCACCTATCGTCATTCGGATTTCATCGTTATTGATGACTTTATTATCTCGCTAGAACTCCGTTGCAGCGAATAATTCGTTCATCCAGAACAAAACATTCGTTCGTACGATAACCTCGATTGTGAAGACCCCATCCGTCCTATGTCGCTGAAGACCTCGCCGTCCATGTCGACCTTACGCCACTCTCCCCTCGTCTCTTATTCCATTCAATTTCAACCATCACCCTCTCGCTCAGCATTGTTGGAAGACTGCTGAGAATCCTCGCACTCCAATTTCTTTTCATCTCTCTGTTTCGACCCTCCCTCTATTTACTCCAGAGTTTTACTCACCAACACTGCGTTGATTATCTGGTGCCATGGTGTTGTTGCTCTCGTCTCCCGTATCTGCACCATCCGGTCCACCATATGACATCTTCTAGACGAGCTCTTCAATGCCGTCAATGTCCGCTCCCAAATACTCGCCAGTGCGAAGACGGAATAAAGTATCTGAATATCTCGTTAGCACGAAAATCTACTTGCACAGGTATGCGCACCTTATCTTCCTTTAATCTGCGTCCCCCGTCACCTCTGCTGATCGCGTATACCTGTCTCTAGGCGTTTCATGACGTTCTTATCTTGTCTACCAATGTTCTACTTTGCATCCTGGATACAAGCGGACTGTGTGACTGCTGGCGACCTCATTCTTTGTCGTTCTGGTCACCCCACTACACTTCTCTCACCGACGCTCGGCGAGTGTAGATGGTTCCTCGTTGGCTTGATCCCTATCCACCCCACCTTTTCCTTTATAGCAGACAGCCGAGCCTAATCATCCCTGTACCTGGTTCTCTCCCTCTCGCCTCACCGACTCCGTTCCGCAAGCTTAGGGCAACTAGTCCGATTTGGTTATAACGTGCACCTTGTGCGTTATCATCGTTTCTCGACGCGAAGTGAGCCGAATGCACTTACTGCCATTTCGGTATGCTCCCTTCTCTTTACTACGAACAGCTCGACTTACCGGGATGGCAGAACATGGTGTGCTGGAATCGCGTGAACGTTTGGCGTCTGAGACACAAGGGCTACATATTGTGGTAAGACCCTATCTCGCTTTCAACCGTTTATAATTTAACCAACCGGCAGGGCTAGCAATAGCGTCATTGGGATAGCGAGTCGGTCACACCCGTCTCAACGAAAGCCTGAGTGTTGTCAATGTGGTCGCTTTCACTTGCACTCGGCCTGTATGGGAGAGAGAAAGAACTCGTCGGAATGGTTGATGGGTTACGAAAGTTGGGTCATCGAGCTAGTTGTCAATTGCTCAAGGTGTTGGTATGTCTGCTTCGCACGTTGCCTCACGTCGTTATCGACTCACCTGTTGACAACCCATTCTCTACCATCTATCTAATGCAGACAACTCCGTTGTCACCCTCAATACATGTCCTCTCCGAACATGCGAAGACGACGATGTAGGCTGCATACCTTTATTTCGTTCTAGGTATGTCTCTCGCATTCGTGCACTGACACTGACTGACCTTCTTTCGTTCCCCCAGATGGCCCATGTTCGTTTTCACACGAATGGGTAGAAGACTCTCATCTCAACGAATCTGTTCGATCTCGACTGTTTCAGGCGTTTCAGGCGATGGGAGGTGACATGGCATGGGTGGATATGACAAGGTGAGTAGCAGATGTTCACAATTTCTTCATTTACTTATCTATATTTCTGGTCTTTTAGCATTGCCTTTCCCTGTGTCTCCGACATTTGATGGGCATATGAGCTGTGTGTCGCCGCGACCTTGAAGGCTCGTATTGCGGGATTTGGAGCGTTGATCGAATCGTCAGGGTGTTGAACGCTTTCTGACAGCATTCCGCCTACAGACCGTCTTCCATCAATCTCTCCGTTTTCATTTTGATCCGATCAATGCAGGGGATAGCGAGGGTGTCGTTATTGAAGGTTGTGGATGGGGGGATGGGATGCTGATAACATTATTGGTCGCCAGGGTCGCTGGTACGTCGCGTCTTCATGTAATTCAACTATTCAACCTTATTCCGTCTACAGACACTATGATCATCTCGTACCGTATTCTCCCATTCCCCGTCAATTCATCCATGGATCTCCCGTGTGCTTCATCGACATCTGTCCGCCTCGGTCCCGCAACCGTTCTGGACGAACATCCCCTTTCCTCTGAACTCCAGACGCTTCCCGTGATCGTTATCCTGTTGACTCCAATATGGCTCGACGGTCGTTCTTTCCTGGATTGAATCAATGATGGCATGCTTGCTCGGGTGATGGGTTGTCTCAAGGTATGTCTCTTTGATTCATATGGTGGAGTATCAACTGATCTTGATTTCCTTTCATTCTCGCAGATAGCCGTACACTCCGAATCCGAATCTTTACTGAGTTTCAGACGAGTGGAAACAGCTTGACTAGGTGGGTTGTTGAGTCAATCTGTCATTGCTTCTACTTACCTTGTATCTCCCCGTCTTCAATATTTTCCTTCTATGTTCTGTAGAGGAGGGAGGGCATTTCCCTCAGAATTTGAAGTTTCGAGTGTTTGCATTGTGAGATGGGTACGTCGTATTGTTTTATTGGTGCATAATTGTCCACCTACACAGCGTGTATCGTCGTCTGTAGACCAACGCATGTTGTCTCTCAGCGATGCTTGCGTTTACCTCGATCGAGTGTTAGAGACTGTGCTGCGAGTGCATATGATGCCGCGGCTGTTGGTTTGACGGCAAGTACCTTACCTTGATCTCATTGGCAATCTCTGATGTGGTCTCGTAGGGTTCAGCTCACGACGACGACGTCTATAGAAGATTCGTCTTGCACCGTCTCAGCTGTCCATTGATAAGGGGAAGGCAGATCTGGTGCAGTGGACTCCAACCGTGCATGACCGATCATCACTAGACGACCACTGGGAGACGGTGGGTTGGAGAGGTACGTGAGTTGGAGGGTTGTCAGGTTTCGATTCGATCGCAGCCGGTTGATCTTCGAATCGTGTATAGACGTCTTGCGAATGGAGCAAGTATTTCGCAAACCGGGAAAGCTTTCGAGTTCTGCTTTTTGCATCTCGTCTGATGGCTCTGTACACTTGGGTCATTGGTGTAGGCTGGAGTTGGGATCTGAGTGTCATCCTGTAGTCGCATAGCGGTTGAAATACATAGTTTCGTGTGCCATCTGCAGACTCCTCGTCTCGTCTTCCTAGAATCCTCTGTGTTCTTTGCTTGCCAAATCCCCATACTCGAAGCTCACTTCTTTAATCCTCATGTCCTTACCACCTCCCGTGAGTTCTTTACCAGCCAGAACACACTATGTATTGCGAGTGCTTTAGTGTTCTTTACTACCCAAAACACACTCTATCTCCACGAATAATCAGGAGACCATCACAAACAACGCGCAGATCGTCCAAACAAATATATTCCCATCTCTTCTAATCCTATGTACACGCGCCAGTGTACTTACCTTGGCAACCATCGTAAACGTCTTCACCCCTAAGATATCCACATCCGCTCCCCGACAACACACCCAATAGATAGCACCACGAAACCAAGAGAACGAAAAGCGATATGGAAAGGGAGAGGCAGTCAAACAATGGCTACAGCAGCGTGAACGCCCCGCCAGCCATACACAACATCATGGCCATAAACAGGCCAATCAACTGCCCCTTGCTCCCCTCGATCGCCTTCCACCCCGGCATCGCAACCCCATTCGCACTCGGTGGGAACGTCGTCGCAAAGTCGTTCAACGGATTCGGTCCTCCCGATATCGTCACCGTAGGCGCACTGCTATCTGGCTCCGTGGCTGTCGCGTTCGAACTGCTGTCGCCAATCGAAAACCGTGACGATGTGGTGAACATCACGCCAGACGTCGAGTTCAGGAAGAGTAGGTAGTAGTCGTCTGCCGAGGGCACGTCTTGCAAGAACAGGTTGAATGACCCCGATCCAGCCGGCACTGGAAATGAAAGAACGTCAGTTATTGAGCTCATATTAATGAACAACTGGAAGATTCTGCAAAAAATAAACTACAGACAGCCCGCTTCTCACCAACCTCGTGTATCGAAACGGCGATACACGGCTTCCTCAAAGCATTGCAGGCTAGAAATATCCTACATGTGACTATCGGGTGCTCAGAACAAGAATAAGCCACCCAGTTGCAGGAAGGTACCATACAACGCTCGTCGGCGTTCGGAAATCCACCAGCAACTCTGACGTTGTTTCCAAGTCATAGGAGAGGCTTCCGAAAACCGAACAAGGCCGGTGAACTCTCACAGCACACCTAAACCCACTAGATGTGAAGCAACACCTCGAACGGCATCACCATGGGCTAAAGAAAGCGCTGACATGGGTGCGATCGCGTCACACTGCCACAACACCTTAGAGTTGGGCGTCGATAGGAACAGCATCTACAACGCGAAAATGGAGGGGACGGTGCGCCTGAGAAACATCCAAGGAAACACCTCAGGGAAATAGGTACCTCCAGCAACAACAAGAAGACACTAGTGAGAGCGTCAGTCCTAGAAGGACTAACATACTACCCAAGCATCCGAGTCGAGATACCGGTAACCTGCCAACTCCACAAGACATCTGAACAATGTGGCATTTTCTCGGGACTTGAAGCTTTCGTGCAATGCGTACCACAAAGCAAGCGAGAAAGATCTAGACAAACGCGAGAGCACTCACCATCTCTTGCGACGAGGATAAGACCGTCGACGCTCAGTCTCGACATCTCCACGTCGAATGCGTCGATATCATCCAAAAGACCTTTTATCCATGTTATCCGGTTCGCAGCGCCGTTCTGCAGCTGCGTTCCTTGCGTCGGACTCGTGACGATGAAATATGCTATCGAATGCCGTCAGAGGTCGCCCACTTTTGTAAACTGCACGCTGCTCACAGTGTGCATCCGCTAACGAGAGAAGCAACGAGGCAAAGAGCAGAGTGAGGACACCTCGAGGGACGGCAGAGAAGAGGTGCATCGTCGTTGTCGTCAAGAGTGATTGATTATAAGCGGGTATAGGTGGTATGAGAGCACAATCACGAGCGGTGAATACGAAAGACGTCCAGAGAGTCTAGGATATCGCCTTGACCTGGTATCGGAGAGACCGCCTGGAGGGATGGAGAAGGTATGCAGGCGGTGATGGTGGTTTTGGAGAGGAATCAAAAACGAGCGTTACTGCCACCGAAGGGAAGCGACTGTGATGGTGCCGGTGAGCTGCAGGAGGGTATGGGCGAGCACGGAACAAGGAGAGAGCGGCAGTACTAGACTGAACGACCGGAGAGGACTTCGCAGAAGGTGGCTAAGAGTCGGTGCAAGGCTAAGAATGCTACTCTACTGGGCGGTGGCCATCCTTCCCCTCCACTACCTCAGGCGTCTCTGCGCGCCGAAGCACCACCGTCCGTATATGGAAACCAACCTCATCGCCAGCCAATAACATTCATCAGGATCTATTCGGAGACTGAATCTTCTGTCAGTCGTGCGCCGTTGCAGTGATTTGGGCGCTGGAGGTCAATCATGTCCGTCGTCGACAGGCTTTCATCACTTTACCGTCTCATCGACGTCCGTCACCATCGTCACCATATGTGCCCTATGCTTAGGTACATTATCATATGTACACTTACAAGGATCCAGAAATCTATGCACAACGCGACTTGCAAGCGGGCGTCGTTACTATCTGCGCCCATTTCACTTCCGGATACATCGCAAGTCCGATCAATATGCAGTGGTCAGGATCAGTAAGAGGAACATGCTGAATTTCATGAATCCTCGGCGTTTCCGGGCGATAATCAGACTCAAGCACTAGACTCTAGGATGCCATTAATAGATGCTCCATGTATATTAGAAAGTTAGACAACGGTCGAAACGAATATACGAAGGCGTTGCATACGTTCCCAGGTCATGTCCCATAAACCCATGATGCATGATGGCCAACCTGAGGTTCATAACGAGAATTATGAGGCAGACAGGCAGCGACGGCGTTCAGGACAGTCCTATGGTGAGTGCACTGTTTGTCAAGAACATGAATGCTAGGCATGTCTGCTACGTTAGAGGTTTGCTTTGCTGATTTTTCGGGAGTGTAAGGGTAACCTTACGACGGCGTTGGCATGAGTAGTGTAACTCACCACAGATACTCACACACTGCATTTCATTCTCACCATAGGCTTATTGCTTTTGGAGACCTTCGGTCGGCATATTCTTATCGAATAATGCCAGATGCATCAGGGCTTTATAGGGCTATAGTTCAGATACAACCATGATGGACTCTAGGTATCCGAAGGACTGCAATCCGAGGCGCAACACGACCTCATTCCTCTGCAAAAAGGCTGATTCCGACTGCATCTGTAAAAAGGAAAAAAAAGCGGTTCAATCACACAAGCTCAAAAAAAAAAATGTTGCAACCATACCCAGGGCTCGTCTTTGCCAAGCACATACTTCCTCGGAGGCCGTTCCCAACACGCCACCCTCTCCAGCTCCTCTGCGCTTCGCAGCGGGAAAACAATACCCAGTTCAAAGTTCGTATTCTGAACTTCACGTCAATAGCAGTTCCACAGATATTGAAAGAGGCAGCCTACGTTCAGAATGGGGTTGAACCCCGAACCAGACAGTGTCCCCCAGGCCGAAGGTGTAAAGTTATGTGAACCGACATACGCCCATCCGATCACTTTATCTTCTTCCCGCCCTTGAGCATCCACTTCTACAACTTCGTCGTCGCTCTCCGGTTCGGTTTCCGAGTCTGATTGTGGCGCCTTGCCTTTGTTCGAAGGACCCGTATCACGGAACGTCGCGATGATCATCTATCGTGCATGTCGATCATCAGTCTGTTGTTTTACAGACGGAGAAGAGTGATTCAAATTTGAAAACCACCTTAGAGTGCATCAAGACACCTCCCCTTTTACTCCTTGAGTCATGGAAAAGATTTCGCGGGAACTTGGCTCCTTCCCATTGGCTTCGTCTACAGAACATCGTGCCCCCTCCCTACAAACACGACAAGTAGTAGCCGGTCAATCATTCCACGAAGTCATGCCTTGTACTTACTTGCTCGCCAAGCGCACTGTCCTTCACAGTCTTGTCCGACGGGAACAAAATCTTAATCGGAGGATATGGCAGTTTCGTTCGTCGCGACCTTGGTTGATCAAGCCACTCCTCCGCCGAGTCTCCCCTAGCGGAACAATAGAACTCATTCACCCATTGCGTCGAATATGTCCCGATCGAGGAACCCTGAATGACGAAATACGGTCAGTCATGACTTGCAGTGTGGTGAAGGTGTAACGGACTTGACATTCCAGCACCAGTTCCTTTCCCTTCGGCGTTCGCGCCCCGCTGTCTCGTACAGCTTTCATAAGAGCTACGTGACCTGACTGGATGACCTGAATACCATACGCGTGAGCACAAAGCGGACTGAGTGAAACTTGAGAAAGACGTACCTTTGGCCAACCCTCGTGCTTCCCAGCCAGCGAAGGCACAAGGTGAATTTTCACTTTCGAAAAGTCCCACTTACGGCGTAGATCCTCTAGCCGGCTTATCGGTAAATCGGTATGCTGCTCGAACGATTGGCGTTATTCACAGACTCTATAAATAGACGAATCGACTACTTACGCCGTTCTTAACCATCGTGATCAACGCAGGGGCGACATTTAACGAGTGTAGTATCCTCGTCCACGCAGCTGGAAAGTCGTTCGCTTTCGAGGCGTGAGGAATTGGACTTGGTCGCAGAGGGATATCTTGAACCCATACACTCTAGAAACGCTAGTTTAGGACACGAGACGTACAATGTTGCTGTCTTACATTCTCAATATCTCGCCAGTCAATCGGCAGCAGGTTCGCTGTCGACACGACAACCCGCAATCGGCCAGTCTTGTAGAATATCTAAGTAATCCCTATTCAGTAAGTACATCACATGCGCAAGTTCGCCGCATACCAGCATAAACTAGGTGCCGAAACAAATCAGTAGGATGAGGACGAACATAGTATCTGCGCTTGCCTTCATATGCATACACCCACGTCCACCGCGAAGAAATGGTGTCGTCTTGATCCAATTCGGAAGGACTTCTTTCATGGTCTCATTACCCTGGGAGTCTTGGGCAACTATGATCACGGGCGTGCTGGGATTGAAAAAGGAGTACATCCAAGGAAAGTCGACACAATATGCTGAGATGATAGCGAACGAAATCTCGTCTCGCTAGCAGCTACGTCACCTCGAGGTCAAATATATGTATCGATAACTTGACGTACCGGCGCAAGGATATCTGTCAATCTGAAGAGCGGACGGGTATCCTTACTCGGCTCAACATACTTGTTCGCCGTCTGACGTAGCTCTCCGTTCCAAAAGTAAGTGTCGGTAGGTTCCCTTGATTGCGTTCCACTAGTCGTTGCGCGTGGAGCTTTCTCAGTAGTGGGTCGAGTGCTGGAAGAAGGAATGTTGGAATGATGTGCAGTAGACGAATTATGCGAAAGTCGTTGCCTCTTTGCACTCCGTCCATTCATGTTATCTTCGTCTGTCTCTTCATCTTCATTGTCGAGTTGAGGCTTCGATTGAGCTTCGACTAGGTCAGGACGGAGTCTCTTCTGACGTTCTAGTCGTTCCCGTTCGAGTTGTGCCCGATCAAATGGGAAAGCATTGCTGGACCGTACTAACATTGATGGTGCTGAGATTGCGGGAGGTGAAAGCGCCGGAGACATCGAGTCTTGAGGACTATATGTTCTTGAAGAGCTTGCACTTTGAGCTTTGGAGGCTTCGATTGCTTGCTGTATGTCTGACTGTAACCGAACATCTTCGTTGTTATCCTCTTCGTCGCTTGAGGGAATCTCAATGATCTGCTTAGGTTCCGGCTTTCTATCTGATATTCTAGATGGCTTGTAGGCATCCCGTACGCTTAGGGCGAGCGCCCTTGAGAAGAGCATAAATGAGGGGCGGGTTTCCTACCAAGAGAGACGAACCTTGCAATTTCTTCATCATCGAAACCGTGCATCTTCCAGATGCGATGTCTTGCTGATATCCAAGGAGAATGTGAGAGGGTCAACGAAGATAAAGAACTGGCCTTCTCTGAAGTGCTGATCGTGGTGTGGGAGGACAACGTGAACACACCAATTTACCATAACACGACGACCTCACATGCGTTGGACTGCATTACCGATGTGGTGGAAGAACAGGCTACGTCGATCTGGGGTTGCATTCAATTGTCGGTGCTCGGGAGTGAGGAACGCGTCGCGATCGAGGAGGATCGAAATCTGGATCACACTGCGTTGATGCCCACTGTCCTCGATCGGTTCCACTTCTCCTTCTCACTCTGTTCTATGTCTCCTCTCGGATGCACTCTCCTCCTGTCAAATCTGAGATCTACTCTTGCCTTGAACCCCTGAGCATCTCAAATTTTGTATCCTAGGCTTGCGATGTTCTCAGGTACGACTCACAAGCCGCTTAGCTCAACTGTGAATAGTTGGCCCATACTTGAACTTGAAGCTTAGGGCTTCGACTTTGACTGACCACTCACCCTTTCGACGTCACAACTCAACGTCATGTTATTTACTTCTGTTCACAGCCTGGCAACCACCAAGAATTTTAGCCCGTCTATGGGCAGCCTTCCCAATTAGTGACTTGACTGCCATCTTCGACGAACATTCAACACTCACCGCCATACGCAGCCATAGTCGTCACCGACTATACCTCTACCCAACGTCATGCTCATATAACGTCCGGCTTTCTCTCACACTCATGCGATTATCACAGGTGTTGTGCTGTAACGCTCGCTGACCTCTGATGGGACCATTGCGAAACTAAAGACCTTTTTCAGTAATGACCCCAGGCGACCTGGAATTTATCCTGGTATGTACAGGATTCAAGCACTGTAGAGGACTCACCTTGTATGACTCGCTCGCCTTGCTCACATCAACTACGCGATTCGCTGTGGCAACTTCACCATCGAGTCGGCGTTGGTCTTATGACCGCAAAAGGATTGTGTAAGTGCATCTCACTGCATTTGGCATTAACAAATATGAGAATGCTTACCGTCGAGCTAACCAACCTCGTTCTACAGACAGCGCTACTGGGACAACGGGTGAGCACTCAGATCAATTCCAAGCGAGAATGATGGTGCTCACTATCGAAATACAGTGCTCTACAGGACGCCATCTATGCTGGTGCTAAACGATGCTGCATTAGATGACAATATAATAGACAGGCCGTCGGAGAACTTACCAGCGGGGTGTTGAGAACGTTGAAGAGACTCGAAACATTGGTGATGACAGGGTCATCTTCGAACACTAGCAGTGACTCCGAAGGAAACCAACGAGGCTGAAGAATGTGAGTGAGGAAAACGGGAGAAAGAGTCCATGCTCATACAACCCAGACTTTCATCCTCTTATACGCCAGGCTCGCCCTCAAAGAGAGAAAAATTTCTCCCGTTCAGTCGCACCCCCGGTCACAAGTGTCCGAAGTACGTATGGGCGATATCTCGTCCGTCAGAACGCCCCTAGAGATCAGGTACTTGGTGGCAATCGACAGACGATCTCGTTTCTCGACTCATTCGTCATTTGCTATCCGACTACCATCGGTTCAAATTGGGACCATTCCTAGCGACGTGCCTTGGATACGCCAATCCGTAAACCTCCACATCTGGCTTGGAAAAGGAAAAACACTACGTGCCTGGTTTGAAGTAGGCGTTTTGCAGGAAACCAGGGGACATTTCGATTTACGATCTAAATCCTGGTCTCACATAATGTATGTCACGTTTATAGAATGTACCGTTCGCGAATCGAAACCCTATGCACTGGTTACGCTGTGAAGGGAGACTACGTCCCCTAAAAACATGGACGTACCTGACAATAATCTCACCTCTCATCTGTTGTTCACAGATGTTCTTGCTTTGGAAATATGCCCTCAGACTCGGCGAGCCAAGTTGCTTTTAGAATGAGTGACATATACTTCGTAATGGTACTAGTCCTTCGGTCCGTCCGATGACCGCCACCTGATTTGAATTCATTCCCTCGCAGGCCATTGGTTGTAACGCGAGAAGTGAGAAATAATATTTGCCGGTCTCAGGGAGTTAAGCGAGACGGACAAGAAATGAGGGGCGTTCGAGAATGCATGTTCCGCTTCGTAACCTGTACCTTAGCTATGGAATATGAGTCGGCGCATGCATGCCCCAAAATATAGACCATCTGAGATTGGAGACAAGCTCGCCTCTCGTCCTTTGTCTTTAGACTGCCGCTGTGGATTCTCGAGGTTGGACTCAGATAGTCTTGAAGACGTCCTTTGAGTCTCATTGAACTAGATGGAGGAGCATCCATTGGACCATAATCCAAGCCCTCCGGATACAGTGTTTACCAGAGCCTGATATGAACAACGGCACTTGCACCTCACTTTACGATAACAACAATGGTTTTTAGTGACGTACATTTTTCATCTCGTTTCATATTTGCGTGAGTCCGTGAATTACACATCGCTGGCATGCAGAAATGACGCGAGCGTCCTGGAAACGCGAAACTTGAATTTCTTCTGTTGAAGTGTGAAATTTGAAGCGAGTACGTTTACCATTGGCCAAGATTTGCGCGTTCCCCCCGATAACGTTAGACATTTGATGACGTGAAACTTCTGCAGCAAAACTTGGCGAGAAGATGACACGTTATGATATTTTTGAACTTAAGACTGGCAAATTCGTAAGTGCACCTATTCAAAGACAGAAAACAAGGTAATACATAGCGACTTCTTGAGGAACAAGGATGGTCTCTGCATCTTCATCGTGACGACATCTTACATCTCGTTACCTAGATGAGAATGTGAGTAGAGCTTATTCCAGAAATACGTCAACATGATCATTATGCGAGTAAAGAGAACGGAATCACCTATGCACTTAGAAACAAGAATGAGTTGATAGGCGCAGAATTCGCACATAAATGACATCTTCGCCAACCGAATGAGTGCCTGTTTCAAGTCCTTATATTTCATTGATCAGTACGTACCCTTCGACAGGCTGACCCAAACCAATTCTCCGATTACAACAAGATATAGGTATCGCATAGTTACCGCCCTGTTTATCGCAGAATTCAGCCACTAAGACCTGAGAATAAATGACACCTGTCCAGACTACATTCTGCCTGCTGAGCCGTTACACCAGGTTATACAAATTGAAGCTGACTTTTGCATTATATCTGCTTAAATGTTCGTGAAGTCAAGTCGGGCAGGACGGTGAGCATAGAATCACTGAGAAATGTCCTGGGAATAAGAATGACTTTTTGCATCAACGCCGAGTCAACAGCTCGAAGCGAGAACACTTTACCACCTGAATGACGTAGATGATAGGATAAGTGTTTTTTAAATGAAACATGTTACGACGCATGAGAAGGTACTTGTCGAGGACGTACCTATCAGAAAGAGTAACATTGCCTGGAGTACCGGAAAAGATTGATATTGTCATCGGATGAGCTGAAACTTGCATGTACGTCGGCGTTGATTTAGCTCCAAAGAATCCGAAGCCCAAATGTTCCAATTTCGCAGCTTGAGGATGGCAACAGTGAAGCAGATTCGCAACCCTGGATACTAACCCGGGCTGCGCGGCGGAGTAAGCATGTGGACCTGTCAAACCTTGAATTTACACTTCTCGCGGTAGAGAAGACAGTCTGTGAGCCATGTTCCGACTGAAGTCAGGCATCGAAAACTTGAAACACCAGTACAAACTCACCCGAAAGGACATATTTATCAGGACAGCAAGAAACGTTCCGCACGCAAGGTGAAGTTGATTTGAGAGTGACCTTGAGGTTTAAACGTTGACACGGACATCGAAGGAGGATGGATATGAGCATATTATAAGTCAGTGGTTTCGAATAGAAAAATCAAGCTATGACCTGACCAAAGGGACGTATCGGTCATACATTACTTACTTTCGTGTCATCGGAACTTGAAAGCCGTGGCTTCCAGAGTATTCCGAATGACTGTTGGAGTATTCGCACGTTGAAAAGTCTAATATAAATGAAACGCAGGACCATGATCAGTCTTCGACGAATGAGTCGAGAGAGAATGCAGATTGTGAAAACATTACCGTCACCAGCTTCAGTATAACTAGTCATCTTCGGACCATCTGCGAGTGTGGTATTAAATTGTATACCATGAAGAGAACACTAATTCAAGCCGCTATCCTGGTATATGGATGATAGCGACAGCATAAAGGAGATTAGATCTAAGACTGTTGATGTGAGTGCATGAGCTTGAACGACAGAGTTGAATAGACTCATAACGTCAGAACGTTCAAGCTTCAAGTTGAACTGATCAATGAATGATCGAGATCAGATAGGCAGCTTTAACGCACAACCTGTAGCTTGGCTTGCCTCCAATGCAGATTTCTTCTCTATCCATCGATGACTCTCAATTGTGCCCTTGCAGACTTGGCAGAGACACCAGCAATATATTGAGTTAGCCGATGGACCTGTCGGGAATGTAAACACAGCCTGCATGGTAAGTTTCCTATCCCAAGTCTCCGATTCGCTGAGTTCCCTCACTTAGCTTGCACAGTAGTCAAAAGACTTCTGAGACCCTTCCGTGTACGGCTGAGAAGCAACCGTTGGGAGAGAGACTTTATTTTGAGAGCAGTGGTATGAAGTGGCGGTAGGTACGTCATGCATTTCCGGCATCACGTTTGAACTAGTATGAGACAGGTGTATTTTACAAGGGTCATTTCTGCCGATGTAAGTGGCAGAGTTATCACGCGGATTTGTAGCTGGTACGTTCTGTACTGATATGCACCCCGTGCCTAATGTGTCATTGTGTAGCAACGATGCCTGTGGTTTTCCAGGCTATACTTCAATGTCAATAACATTTTAAATATCTCCGAAGCAGAAGGTTCCCGGCCTGTCCAGAGTCAAACACCAATGGTGCATCAGCAAGACACATCTGTGAAACTGGGAGGCACTCGCTCATATGTTCATCGCCCTTTCAGTTCTGCCTCTAGATCTTCTCGTCGTCGTGTTATCATCAAACCCACATTCCTATTTATGGCCGCAGACATCTTCCATTCTCATGACATCTCACATGTACGTCTGTCAATCAGCCTCGTCGCCATGGTTAATTTGCATTGCTGGAAGATCAGTGCGAACCATGTTTTGAGGTCTACGTGTGTCAAGGATTATGCGTATGTGAAGCATGGGTGACTTCCCGGTAAGCCGTGAC